ATTACATCGGAAAAATGACTGGATTTTATCGGATCCGATGGGAATCCGTCGGAGTTTGCCGGCGTCCTAACCACAGGATTCCGATAGGCGGTTCTGAATGTCGGAATGATCACGATACTGCAGAATTCTGGAGAATCCGACACTTTCCAACATCTGGAGCCGCCTGTCGGAATCCTGTGGTTAGGTTTCCAGGAACTTCCGACGAATTCCCCATCGGATTCGATGGGCTGAGTTTGACCTGGGTCGTTTTCAGAAAATCCTTAGTTTGATGGTGCTAGCTCGATGGTGCTAGCTTCACACCGATAGTTGGGTGCTTCATCTCCACAGTTATCTGCAGATAATACACGACTTTATGCTGCGACTCTAGCCGGAGATGTGTTCGACTTTCAATCCAACGATGGAACTGTGTTATGGTAACGTTCTTTGGCCAAACCAATCTTTTCGACAGTAGCCATTTGGAAAGAAAGATTTCTCGTAGTCGGATGCGTTGATCAAAAGCTTTACTGCTTGACTTGTGAGACTGGTGAACAGGTATGGATCCTTTATCTATAAACATTCTTTTTTGCAAAGAAGATATTTGACTTTGTTAACTATTCTAGAAATGGACGTTTGAAACGAATGGTCCAATCTTTTCCTCTCCATGTCTATTCGGTGATAAACTATTTATCGGTTGTCACGATGAATATCTCTACGCAGTCAACTTGTCAAATGAACAGCAAGGTGTCTTAGAATGGAAATATCGATTTCCATCAATGATCTATGCTTCGCCGTTCGTGTTCGATCATGGTCGAATGGTGATTGTTGGCTCAATGAATGGATGTTTACGTGCACTGACTAGTCAAACAGGTGAAATTTTGTGTGAAACGCAGATTCCCGGTGAAGGACTTTTTTCTTCACCAATTTGTTATCGTGATCGTGTTATTGTTGGTTCGCGTGATGATTATTTATATTGTTATACATTTCACGATTCGTCAAAGTGACATACTCGCAGCGTGTCGCTTGACTCATCGGTACTAATCGTGTGTGATATTGAAAATAAACAAAGAATTCGTTCGAGTTCTATTATAAGAAGTGAAGAATGAAAAATCCAACACTGATAAAACCATACAGGATATGAAAGACAAATACAAAGAGATTCGATTGGATTCAATGAAGAGAAGAAGTAGAAATACATTAAAATTTAATTTCAAACAAATTTTAAAACATTTGTTTGACGACGCTAAGCAAGTACGAAAGAGATCATGGAGCATGTAATGAGCACTGAGACAAGTCCGAGACCATACATGGATCGATTAACTCATGCGATTCTCAAAGAAGCATCAAAGAGTTTATTAGTGTCAAGTTTCGAGAGTTGTTCGGGTCTATTTTTGGGTTTTGTTTCGATAGGAAATATTACATGGATGTGAAAAGTCGTGAAGATGCGTTTGTTCTCGATGTGAATACGCCTGTTTGGGATCTATTACCGAAAAAATCAGTAAGTTAACGCAAATATGCTGTTTCACTGCAGAGTTTATTTAGAAATTCGTGTTCGGACCGAATAACAAACAGCATGCGGACAAACGTAGTTTTCAATACAAACCGAAACAGCTTGAGGTAATTTCGACAATGATCTTACGGAGATAGGATCAAATATTGAATTTTAGGGAACGTTACTTAGTCCTGAGAAACAAATGTATCGTGAAGAACTTCAATTTCATATGCGTTCGTATAGTTTTCTGGTAAGAAGAACAAAACAGATGAATTCGGTTTACTTTGTTGTGAAATCTTTTAGGGAAAAGAAAACCCTAAACTGTACGATGTTCCATTACGATCAAAACATCGATCCAGTTCGTTAAATGTACCTAAGCGTCAAATTCGGTCACGATCGGTGTTGAAGCTTTCACGAGATCATTTAATTGACAGCACGGTGGACATATTCGCATCGATGGTCACATCACGACGCTGCTTTCATGAAGCGAATCAATTGGCACGAACTGCCAGTCCGACTTCACGACAAATCGACTAGGAGCGAATCTTCCCAGGTGACCAAACCAAACATGACAAGCAATCTCTCATTTTAGCCATCGATTGAATATTGTCAATTCGAAAACTTTACTAAAACAATGAAAAAACTGTTCAAAGAGAACAACATGATTTCTGTGTCCGAGAAGTCTCTGTCATCAAAACTCACCTTTCTCTTCTAGTCAAAGACACACATGTATCCATCGACAAGCAAAGGTCTTCAATGTGGCTATAAGGTATCGACTACAATAGGTGCTTGTAAGATTGTGTCAACAAATGCACTAAAAAGGATCAAATTGTGTGGAACAAATGGACACGCAGCTTCCTATGAGCTTCCTATTGGGAAACACGTCATGTGCCACTTGTGACAAATAAAACTGATGTGTTTATCGTTCATGTGTTTGACATGGGTGTGCAGATGACAATCACAATCGAACATGTTGAGGGTGAATATGAGTAGGACTTGAAAAGGAGAATTATGTTCAATTCAGTTCACATGTTGCACTTCGGCGTTTGAATTAGAATTTTCTATCGTTCGTTCGTTACATAATTGTCACGCAGAGTCATTAAAAAAAATTGCGTACGTCGAGAGAGAAAGAAAGCGAACTTTCATTGGACTGCATCAAATAGTTTGATTTGTTTGATCAGAATAAGAATAACTGAGTTCTATCAAAACCCATGAAACATGGTTGTTTTTTTTTTCAAGTCTGTGTCATGAATTGGTAGAGCATGACGAGAGAAACCAGTCAAGTTTCGCCCCTCCGGAAGACTCTTGGACAGGCAGAGCCGCTTGAAAACCTTTAGATCATTTACAGGTATGATAAGAAAGACATAGTCCTCTTGACAAGTGCTGATCTTTGTCTTGAGCGAAGGATGAACCAGTACACGCACGATATTCGTTTGTGTGTTGACTAGATCAAAACCGTCACTACACAAAGCACAGATAACAGTTGACGAAGAAGATCTACAACAAAAAGTCAACAATCGGCGACTAGCGTCATCTACCGTGTACTTCTTTTCCATGGGGGAATGTTATCGATTTCGTTTTCATGACTTGACCAGGTCATTACTGGACACCACCTGTTCCCGACCGAGTTGCTTTTTTTTTCTAGATTACAATTTTCGTTCCAAAAGCATTTGCAGCTCTAAATGGCTCTTCACCAAAAAGTCCAGGAGTTCGAAGAGGTGAGTCAAATGATTTTTTTTCGGGCTCAAAGTTCAATTCTACATTTCTATCTCTTTAGACGATTCTTCTGTCCGCCGCCGATCCCGCCGATATAAGCCCAGGTCGATCATTCCGGCGACTGGATCCGTTTAAATCTGAGTCGATTTCGGTACAGCTCTTCTCGACTCCAGCACAGTTTTCACCGATTCCAGCAAGTTCCGACAGGTTCCTTGCCGCCGGATTCTGGCCGGAATTGAACAGGAAATATCCGGTCAGTTCCTGACCGTTTCCAGCTCGAAGTTTGCAGGAAACAGTCGGGAAATGGCTGGAACCTACGTTTGAACTTCCGGCCGGAACCGACCGTGCCATAATAACCTGGGAGTCTACAAAGAAAAAAGAAGAAGCTGCTCGTAAGATTAGGATTATGGTTGTCAATACATATCAGATTGTTTTTTAGGAAGAAATTAGCATATTAATCAATACAGGCGACAATGATCGACACGCAGTTCACCACCACACAGCCGATGAACATATAACGAATGAAGGGACGTGGCTACCATTTTTGAGTAAGTTAAATATACCAAAATAAATATCCATAGAAATTAGGCAAGAAATTCGAGCTGTACCTATGTGCAAAAGCTAAATTGTCCGCGATTGAGTACGGAAGTTTGAGTACACGACGTATAGATCATAGTCCGAGATGAAGCGATTTTCACTGTCTCAATTCGCCTGGTTTCGACCACATATCGTCTCGCGCTAGCTTGTGAGAGTTTTTGAAAAGTCTCTCTCACTTTGCCTCACTCGCGGTGTTCAGTAAGTGTTATAATTGACAGCAGGCAGATGACGTTTATTAATAATGAATTGTTCGTGTTAGCCAGTTGAGATGCACCACGTGGTTCTCAATCTGTATTACAATTCTTTTTTAGCAGTGAGAAAAGAAAATGTATTTATTGGAGAATGAACAAGACTATTTAGTTAAAGTTCAGAGTGGACGGGTATAACGCTGAGCAACGCAACTGAAAAGAAATAAACCGATTTCAGTTCAATTCTATTGAAATATATGATATCTGCCTCTAATTCGATTCATTTCTTATGGAAACTTTTTCCAGTTCAAGTCAGCTAACTTCGTGATTTGATCGAGTTTAATTTGAATTGACCGATTTTCGACTGAATCTTGCTGTCATAGCATACAGAGATTAAGAGGATCGACTGTGCGGTTCATAGACACATTAGAAAGCAAAGCAAAAAGTTTATTTCGCTGGATTGTAGCGTGACATAGTTTTATCTCACTCAATCAATAGAATATATTTCCGATTTGAGTGGAACTCAGTTGCGCAGCTCGGAGCATATACCTCTTTCTGTTTACAATATTTCTCTTCGTGAAGATGTTCGTAAGTGTGCAATTTAGCAAATCGATGACTACAGTTTCACTCAGTTATTGATTACAGCACTCTATCTCTTGTGGCGCTGAAGACACAAAATGATTGACTGTGTTTAATGTAGATTTATTCAGACATATAATCGATCTCGATCTGTCAGGGCATCCAGCACTATTGTCAAATAGTTTCATAGGAGTCTCTACTTCATTGAGATTGTTGTGAGCGTATTAGTAGCAGTTTTTCAATATTTCGACAGAAACTGAATATTTATAAGAAAAATCGAGGTGTCATCTTTCACTTCACTTCGTTCTGGACTTTAGTACAGTTATCTCCTTTCGTGTTCAAATTATGCTCAAGATGGAAGAAAAGATCTTTTTGGAGAGACGAAAATAAAATTACTGTTACTATTCTAACAGTTGATCAATCATTCTGTTAGAGATCGCAGAAAATTGACAAGCATCATTGCAGTTCTTTGGTCAGTGTCTACTAGTAGTCTACTTTGAGTGTCAGCTAGATCTTTTGGTTGACTTATTTTTTCAATTAACGATTGATGTGGCGATAGCAANAGAAAAAAGGGTTGATCTAGGGGTAGATCAGGTTGATGAACAAATTTTTCAGTCATAAACCCTTTTTGAGGGTTGATTAAACGCCGGATTTTTTTTAGAGTGTAGAGCATTGTCCTTCAAGATTCTCTATACCATTCGAAACAAATGATTGGCATTCTAACATGATTCAGGTTTTACTCATCTGATGAGCCATAGTCGAGGATGAGCGGAGTGAGCATCCTCTGTGAATTGGTATGCGTTGCATAGATTGAACATCCCGAGTCGACCAATCCCATACTCGGATTCCCGGTGACGGATCCTTTCGGATTCAACATAAGATCCTATAGTTTCCCAATAACGAATTTCAACGGGTGCGACAGGTAACCAAAAGACCATCATAACTTAAAACTTGAAAAAGAATGGACGCTTGTAGAATATCTCTTGATTGATGAAATGAGTCTGGTTGGATTGATTTTACTCGGCAAACTCAATCGAATTCTTTGTGCCACTAAACATGTCGATCCGCAAATTCCATTCGGTGGTATAAACGTGATATTCTTTGGTGATTATTTACAGTATCGGCTTGTATACGTTGCCCCATTACACACCGACTTTTCATCGGAAAACAGAAAGAAATCCAACAACGTGTGGTACGTTCTTTAGTTCTACAAATTAGTTCTGTGGTCAAACTTGCTCAACAGATGTGAACAGAAGACACGATATCATCAGTTACTTGAACGACTTCGTCAAGGTCAATATAGTTATGAAGATAATGAATTATTATTGACGCGCGTTGCCGGACAGTCATCAGTATCTCTTCATGAACCACCATGGAATCAAGTAAGATATATTTCTCTGTTCTAAATAAACATTTTTTCTATGTTTTTTTTTGTTTTAGGCTCCCATGCTTGTGTTTAGAAATGAAATATGTACGCAACTGAATCACAGGTCGGGAATTCATAATGCAATACAGACAGGTTGCGATCCAATGGTATGTATTGCTCAGGACTTTTGTAAAAGCAAACCTCTGGAAGAGCCGGCACCTCTTAAAAAATTATTGGAATTATCAGATAGTAAGACTGAACACTTATCGAGATTGTTACCGTTAGTTCCTGGAATGCCAGTTATTCTTACACAAAATATTGCTATTGAACTCGGATCAATTAACGGCATGAATGGAATATTTGGACAACTAGTTTATGATACTGATTCAATCTCAACAGACAGTCTATCAACAACGTTTCCAATGAACACTACATATGTACACAAGCCAATATATGCATTGGTCGAAATTAGCAAATCAAAAATTGAATGTAATCTTCAAAAACTCCAACCAAAACTTATTCCAATACCAATAACGGAACAAATATTTCAGGTAGATGTTTCTGATATTCTTCCGAGTGTCAAAAGCAAATAAAAAAAAACTAGAAAGGCAATGTTATCGATTAAGGGGCACACATTACTGTAACGACAAACTGGTTGAGTAGCTGACCGCTTCTCACGGTATAGATGTTTATTGACTACTCTACATGACCAGAATGTATCTCTTTCACAATAAGACACGCGCTTATATAGAGAAGAGGAAAGAGAGAGATGACCCGGAGATAGTATGATATAGAGGTGAGAGGATAAAGAACAGAAAGAGATGAACGATATCATTATCGTTACAGGTATCAATGTAGATAAGTGCCTGATTAATTGAGGGTGATTTTTCTAAGACTCATCGATGATATTCGCTCGGCTATCATTCTCCGATTGACTAGGATGAAAAGAGAAACGTGAATTTTTGCGAAGTATTATTACTTCTATTGTACAGTAAGATCTAACATTACTAATTTGATCTTTTTCTGTGTCAGGAAAGCTTTTCACACTTGGGCCCAACTGGATTCATCTTATTTCCAATGAACATTCGAAATCCGATTGATGTACAGATGTTACAATCGGTGAGTATTTTAGTTTCTACTCGACGTCCACCACAATATCTTAATCCATTAAGTATCTTTTTCTTGCATCCAAATCTACAATACCAGTAACCCGCAGATCTAAATCAAATCGAACGAAGAGCACAGTGGATTATTGTACATGATCCGTTGTTCGAATGGTGAAGTCTATTCAACGTTTCAATGTCAAAGGATTGATCAAGACAATACCTTGTATTCATTCATTCCTTGATCTGGTGTATGTCGGAGCGCTCGACCAGCATCTTCATGCCATTCACATTCAAGTATTTCTTTCTCGTATGAGCAGGATCGTGTAATAAATATTGAGAATTTTAGGAACATTCGTCGAAATGTATTTAGAAGTTCAGTTTGAACAGCAGTTGTGCTTCATCTCCACAGTTATCTGCAGATGACACGCGACTTTATGCTGCGACTCTAGCCGGAGATGTGTTCGCCTTTCAATCAAACAATGGAACTGTATTATGGAAACGTTCTTTGGCCAAACCAATCTTTTCAACAATAGCCATCTGGAAAGAAAGATTTCTCTTAGTAGGATGCGTTGATCAAAAGCTTTACTGCTTGACTTGTGAGACTGGTGAACAGGTATGCACTTTGTCTATGTACAACCTATTTCGCAACGAAGATATTTGACTTTGTTAACTATTCTAGAAATGGACGTTTGAAACGAATGGTGCAATCTTTTCCTCTCCATGTCTCATCGACGAAGAACTGTTTATCGGTTGCCATGATGAATATCTCTACGCAGTCAACTTGTCAAATGAACAGCAAGGTGTCTTAGAATGGAAATGTCGATTTCCATCAATGATTTATGCTTCGCCGTTCGTATTCGATCATGGTCGAATGGTGATTGTTGGCTCAACGAATGGATGTTTACGCGCACTGACTTGTCAAACAGGTGAAATTTTGTGTGAGACGCAGATTCCCGGTGAAGGACTTTTTTCTTCACCAATTTGTTATCGTGATCGTGTTATTGTTGGTTCGCGTGATGATTATTTATATTGTTATACATTTCACGATTCGTCAAAGTGACATACTCGCAGCGTGTCGCTTGACTCATCGGTACTAATCGTGTTTGATATTGAAAATAAAGAAAGGATTCGTTCGAGTTCTATTATAAGAAGGGAAGAATGAATGATTCAACGTTGATGAAACCATACAGGATATGAAAGACAAATAGAAAGAGATTCGATTGGATTGAATGAAAAGAAGAAGTAGAAATACATTAAAATTTAATTTCAAACAAATTTTAAAACATTTGCTTGACGACGATGAACAAATACAAAAGAGACTATGGAACACGTAATGAGCACTGAAACAAGTCCAAGACCATACATGGATCGATTAACTCATGCGATTCTCAAAGAAGCATCGAAGAGTTTGTTAGTGTCAAGTTCCGAAAGTTGTTCGAGTCTATTTTTGGGTTTTGTTTCGATAGGAAATATTACATAGATGTGAAAAGTCGTGAAGATGCGTTTGTTCTCGATGCGAATACGCCTGTTTGGGATTTGTTACCGAAAAAATCAGTAAGTTAACGCAAATATGCTGTTTCACTGCAGAGTTTATTTAGAAATTCGTGTTCGGAGCGAATAACAAACAACATGCAGACAAACATAGTTTTCAATACAAGCCGAAACAGCTGGAGGTAATTTCAATAAAAATCTTACGGGCATACGACCAAATGTTGACTTTTAGGCAACGTTACCTAGTCCTGAGAAACAAATGTATCGTGAAGAACTTCAATTTCATATGCGTTCATATAGTTTTCTAGTAAGAAGAACAAAACAGATGAATTCGATTTACTTTTTTGGGAAATCTTTTAGGGAAAAGAGAACCCTAAACTGTGCGATGTTCCATTACGATCAAAACATCGATCCAGTTCGTTAAATGTACCTAAGCGTCAAATTCGGTCACGATCGACGCTGAAGCTTTCCCGAGATGAACGAGATCATCTGATTGATAATACAGCAGATATTTTCGCATCGATGGTCAACTCACGACGTTCCTTAATCTCTCATTTTAGCCAGCGATCGGATATTGTTGATACGAAAACTTTACCAAAACAAAGCAAAAATTCGTCGAACAAAACAACATCATTTGTATGTACAAAACATTCTTTCTCATCAAATTCCAAGTTTCTCTTGTAACCAAAGATACACAACTGTCCAGTGATAAACAAAGGTCTTCAATGTGATTACAAAGTAACGATTACAACGGGCAATTGTAATGGCGCGTCGACAAATGCACCAATACGAATCAAATTGTATGGAACAAATGGACACACAGCTTTCCACGAACTTGTCCATTCCGAAACACATCATGTGCCATTTCTTAAAAACCAAACTGATATGTTTATAGTTCATACGTATCACGTGGGTATGTTAATGGGAATTACAATTGGACATAATCGGAAGGATATGAGTAGGAATAGGACAGGAGAATCATCTTTGACTACTTTTTGAATTTAGAAGCCAGTTGGTATCTGGATAAAGTATCAATCGATGATCCTGTTCGTCGAGTGACGTGTGAAATTTCATGTAATGGTTGGCTATCGATCAAATCGAATGATCAGAAGACGATGCGTGATTTTCCAGTGATCTCAACGATATCCTATGAAAAGAAGAAAACTTTAGTTGGTGAGCTTCGATAGATTGAACGAAAGTCTACTGATGTAAAATTTCAGAAGGTGATAATGAAATCGACAGTCAGTCGGGTTTTTCAACAATAACTACCACTGTTACAACAGCATCGAATAAATCTCATTCCAGTAAAGTATCAAATGGACCAAGAGGTATCGCCGAAAAGCCCTCAGAACTCGTAGAAATCATACAATTTCTAGTTGAACCTACTGCACAACCACGTTCGCCAGTGCTTTCTGCAACATCATCCGACGACACAGCGATCAATGTGGATATAGCACATCAACTTCGCTCACAAACTTCAACTCCATCGCCAACTCTGACACAAACACGATTAAAATCCGTTTCTGAACATGATATTCTAGAAATCAAACCAACAAATGACATATTTCACCAATATTCGACTAATTTCGATCGACCATCAGCTCGACTGGAACGACGAACTACACCACTAACCTTCTCGCCAGAACAAAACGACTAGAAACCTTGTTTCCATCAAAAGATCATTTCTATCCTCATTTTTCATCAATAAACAACATCACTCATTCGATCTAGTGATTTCATAGTGTTTATTTCTGCATATGGCAACATATACACGTCATTCGGTGGAATAGAAAACAACAATAAAATAAATACAGTTCTAATGGAAGATAATGAGATTACAACAACAACGTCTGTAACGACGACATGACTAAAAAAATGAACCATACATGGCAGTCACAATAAAATTGAGATGAGTAAATATTATTGACTGAGATTTTTACAGAGTATAACGCCTTCTCTTCGCTTTACAATGTCGATAACGAGATATACCAATGACAAGAATAAGAAATAGAAGAAATGCATTAAGTGGGTATTGTTGAACTATGTCAGGAAGGTATCGAATGATTACTGATCGATCGGCAGTTTCATCGATAAATTCCATTTTCGAGATGAGATCTTCCGGTCGATTGGATGAGTTGTCTGAATGATGAGATTCTTTAGAAATCAGTGTTGAGTCGATATTGCTCTCGGAATAATAATGAAGAAGGAAATCCATGGTATTTGAGATATCAAATTCATTCGTATTGATGATTTTACATGTCGGACAAAGAAATTTACTTGGAAATTGAACTTTTGGATACTTAGGATCTTCGGTAATGTCCGTATGTAGACGTTCATTGACATGATTATGAACTAAACGATAAAATTCATCGAAAATTTTCGTATAACAACAAATCGTTTACTTTTCCAAAGATAAAGAATCGCTTCTTGTTTATTTGTTGTATCAAGTTCAGCTATGTTCACTGTTTCCTTCATAAAATTCTTACGACATTCTCGGCATGTAAAAAAGTACTTGATATAACCTTTGATCGCTAATGGAATCTCCCGAACATCGATTTGTCGAAGTTCTATAGATAAAAAGCATAGAGAAGACGAGAAGGATCGAGAGATAAAAACCTTTTTGATACTGAGAAACAGTCAATGTATGAAATAGAAGCCAAAGTGCACATGGATAACCTCGATATTGTGGTTGAGATCCTGCACAATGTTGATACCGATTATGATTCGTCGGTAAATAAGCATCCGATGTTTTCACATCGACAATTTCTTGGAATTTACTCCCGCTGAAACCATCGGATTGTTCTTTGACTTTTGATAGTAAACGTTCGAGATAATTCATCACTGGTTCACGACCAGGAAAGTACTAAAAATGAAAATGAGAACACAATTATGAGTTTAGATCTAAGATACCTTTGTAAGAATGGTTATCCATTGAATAAGAGCATCATATGCTGGTCCTCGAATACTTTTGAATTGAGGTATTTCTTGTCGAAACATATGAGATAATGCTAATTCCAGGTCGATCATATTTACTTTCCGACGAGTGGTATTTCGATCGATATTTGCCTCAATATATTCTCGATTTTTAGCAGATTGGCGTGTGAGTCGTTGTTTATGAAGTGTTTTTCTAATTTGATCCATCGCATCAAATTCTTGATCATTGAAATTAGTGATACTGTTTGTTTGATGAATGTATAATCGAATAGCACGATTGAACAAACCTCGATTATCAGCATCGAGACTAAAATTCATGAAATGAAGTTTACAAGATGATCGGTATTCTTCTCTTTACCTTTTATTTTGCTGAACAGGAATCCGTTGTGCAGTTCGGTTTTTCAGAATCACAAATAACGATGGTATATCGGTATTGTTGACATGAAGTTTACGCCATAATCGACCGTCGGTTGTCGTACGAAAGATTGTCATTTGGTCTCGATAGTTCGAAAAATCGAGCATTAACTATCGAGATGGAGATGAATATTGTCAAACGGAAAAAAGAAAGTTCATACTTGTCGACCAGTAGTATCCTTTCGTTTTTCGAAAACAAGTAAAAGAAGTTTTGTCGTTCGTGGAGCACGAGCGTAAAGTTCTTCGAATATAACTCGACTAAAATCAATAGATAAAATCACGAACACTAATAGACATTCTTACTTTGCAGGAGTAAAATCTGGCCAGGATTTATATCTTCTATGCATATTATCTAGTTGTCGGATCAGCTCTCTCGTGACATAAATGGCATCAGTTGCTGGAATGACGATTACTTTTGATGAATTATCAAAAACCGATTCTGGTCTGATCAACTATTCGAATTTCGGTATAAAATTTTAATTCAACTGAGAAAAAAGATTACGCGAATTGTCGGAAAACCGCGAACACCATGTTGACGACACAAATCGAGATTTGCACCTCCATAGCAATTTATTGCACCAATACGAACAATCATTCTCCATGCTGAACAAAAACAAACGAATTTTAATCCATTTAAATCTATTTTTACTTACGCCAAGCAGTTGCCGCAACTTCTCGGTAAGTCTACAACCCAAACAAATTAAAAAGAACGAAGAGAATGATATCTTACATTTGCATATGTTCGACAATGGCCGCACCAGCTGGCGTAGAATTCAACGGCCCACGCTGTTTTCGACTGGTACACTGTCGATGAAAAGTTTTCACTAGAAAGTACAGCTACTTTATCCGTGCCGTTGTACAACGATATAGCCTCTCCAACTCCCACAGCAATGGATGAGATTGGATGACTACGATTGAGAATTACAAAGAAAATGAGTGGGAGAACGTTGAGTAGATACATGAGAGACTCATCTATATCCAATCTTCAATAAAAGAAAGAAAATAATGAAGAATTGATCGATAGTTTACTTCTGTCAATATGTATCTTATCTGATAAGGTGATTTTCGTCTTCTCTCTGCGATAATTATCAAGAGCAAATATCTTTTTTTCATCAGATGATTTTTAGTAAAAACAATCACAAGAGTGATCTCTAATAATCAACTACTAAGAAAAAAGTGTTGTTTTGTTAAAAAACTAAGTCCAGTTTGAAATCATCGAGAAGGACAACAGTAAACTTTTCTTATTGACCGGTAAAGTTTGGTTTACGTTTTTCAATAAATGCTGTCATGCCTTCTTTTCGATCAGCCTATTCGAAAACGAAAGAAAAAGCGTCAATTTTCTTTTTTTCGATCGTATTTACAACTCACCAGACCAAATGTTGTGTGGAATAGACGTTTTTCAAATCGATTACCTTCAGCCAATGTTGTTTCAAACGCTTTTCGAAATTCATACTCACAAATACATCAAGAATGAAAGATTTAAGACAATTTACCTGCATTCACGGCTTCTTTCGCTAATTGTACGACAATTCTTGAATGACTAGCGATTTTCTCTGCTGTCTTGATCGCTTCATCAACAAGTTGATTCGCTGGAAAAACAGCACTGACTAAACCGATTTGATACGCTTCTTTCGCCTTAATTCTGTTGCCAGTCAAAACCATTTCCATCGCTTTCGATTTTCCTACATAACGTGGCAAACGTTGGGTACCACCAGCACCTTTCCACAGTAACTAATACCATCAAATCATTATCAAGAGTCTTCTCTTACCGGGAATGGTACCAATGATAATCTCTGGTTGACCAAATTCAGCTTCTTCACCAGCATAGATAATATCACACATCATTGATAATTCACATCCACCTCCCAACTAGAACGAGGAGGAGATAAAGACGAAAAATATAGATAGTTATGCTTACGGCAAAGCCATTAACAGCAGCAATGATTGGTTTTTTGATTTTGGAAACAGCGGACCATTGATCAAGAAAACCTCCGCCTACAACTTGTGGTAATGTATTATTCTGCATTTCTCGGATATCAGCACCGGCTAAACAAGTCTCAAACACGATGTTTCCTCTGAAAATGACAAAGATATTCTTACCAGCGAATGCGCGTGTACTGCCTGTTAAGACAATACAACCGATTTTTTCATCTCTATCGAGTGATTCCAATACAGAGCTTAACTAGAACGAAAGGATGAATATCTATGGAACGAGCTTTTATTATTTACTTCTTTCATTAATCCATCACATAAAGCATTTAATGCTTTAGGACGATTCAATTGGACTAGGGCAATATTGGAGTCTTTTCCTTTGACATCAACTAACAAGTAGTCATATTTCTTTTGTTCATTACCACCTATAGATGTAAAACAAGACGTGATCCGTTTTATAGATCTTGAATGAACTACTTTGTTGTGTCGATGATAATCGAAGCGCTAATGCTGAGACATTATGTGGTTTGGTAAGAAGTGTTGATGCTGTTGTTCCAGAACGGGTAATAAACTGCGAAAAGGTTCGTGCGAGAAAACTCATCTAGAAAAAAAGTTATTCAAAAATAATAGCATAGTACGAATATATTTTCAGTAAATGGTGTACTCGATTCCGATTTATAGTGAAACAGGAGCAGAATTGGATTGGATGGAACTTGTACCAATAAAGAATGTACTCGTTAATGGAATGGGAGGAAGGAATGTACTCACTGGGCTCTTTTATTAACGATTTCGTTCCTCGCCGGGAATGAATACTCCAAGTTATTTACTGTGTAAATAAGTGTTTTGATTCTCTATATCTAGCTCTGTTTCTTTGGATGACACGGTTGATACGACCAAATGTTCGAATTCAAATACTATTCTGCGTTTTTTCTTGTTACTTAAAAAAGCATACCAAATTTGAATATCAAAAATCCATTCATTCAACATTTTCCCACATGAAAAGTAATCGACTGAAGACTTTCTAAAACAATCTTAACACCCATATAAACATATTTTTCCTATTTCGCTATGATCAACTCATGAATATGTTGTTGCTGTTTCTATTTTGGCAAACAATTCAAATAAATAAGAGTTTTCCTATACGATGAATGTTTATTCACTGTCTGCTTGTGTTGAAAAACTGATAGACTATAACATAGTGTCTTCATTTTGAATATCAAAGTAATCGACATCCGTTGAATACTAAACAATCACAATAATTTTGCACTATTGTATCATAATAACCATAAATCGTTCTAGAATCGTCGTTGTGAATAGATGTCCTCAGCTTATGAAAACTATACTCTCGGATAAGCCAATGAAAAGCGAGCATCGATTCCTATTAAACTAACAAACGCATTAGAGATGCTTTATTTTTTTTCTGCTATATAGACAATAAATCGTGCACATTAGAAAGTAACACAATAGAATGAGTAAAACACTCGTCATTATTACAAAATCTTGATTTTTTTCCTCATGGATAAATTTCCAACAGACAATTCATCTAGTCCATTTGATGTCTCACCAGAAGCGCGTACACTTCGCGATGTTGTTCATAGTTCAAAAAATACCGGAAGAAACTATGGTAGTTTAGCAAAATCTCAAATTCAACCGATCTTTTACATATCTCATCGTGTCGAATTAGACGATACACTACAAAGATTGGCATTAAAATACAGCATTAACGTAAGTCTTATCCTTGAAAGATCCTCTTTTATCTGTAAATATTTTTCTCTCGAAAAGATTCAAGAAATTAAACGAGTTAATCAAGTCTGGTCAGACGCTGAACTACGTTTACTCGAGTCAGTTTACATTCCAGTCAATGCTACTCAATTAACAAGCCTTCAAAGTTTATATCCTTCATTAGAAATACTCCAGAATTTACCTCCAATAACCAATCGTCGACAATCATCAATCAATGAAGACGCAACCTCATCGATGCGTTCATCCGACAGCACAACTTCCATTCCCACTAGCAATACTTCATCCTATCAAGATTACTTCTCAAAAATCGATCAACAAATTCGATTAACTAAGAAATCTCTGCAATCACTCGATATGAATCCACAAGACTCAAAGTAAAGGATTTTCATTGACTAAAATTCTGTATTCATTAGTTTCATCTTGCAGTGTACAATCGACGTTGGAGTCGGATATAACTTCGACTCGTACGACAATGCGAAACAATGATCGACATCGAGGTGCACATCATCTATCTGATAACAGTGTATTTGTTAATATCATGTCTCAAAATTCTCGTGAAAAGTATATCTCAACAGCACTTCAACGAATTCAACGAGAAAAGGATAACTTCGATGAACTTTGAAATCTTTTACTATTTTATTTATTTATTCATTTATCTTAATCTTCCTTTCGTTGTCATGTATAATCCTTGAATATGATGTATTTTAAGTGTGTTCAATGGCAAACGTTGATGGCAAGATAAATGTTCGAACGCCGAATAGTTTCTTTTCATTATAGATTTCATTGGTACAGGAAAAAGATTCTGATATGAGTTCACAGTGATGTTAACGGAGTCGACGTGAGTATCAAGCCGAACGTTGATGTGACATAGATAAGATCAGGGCCAAAGAACTAACGAATTGATAGAAAGTCCTTTCTGAAATGATTTCATGCTATTTTCAGATGCAAAAAGTCGATTGTTTAATTGTTGGAGGTGGAATTGTTGGAGTCGCTGTTGCTCGTAATCTGCAATCAACATTTTCAAATTTGAAATGTTTATTAGTCGAGAAAGAAGATATCCTTGGTTAGAACAGTTCAACAATAATCAAGAGAATTCTTCAATTTGTTCGTTTTCTAGCTAAGCACCAAACGGGTCATAATTCCGGTGTGATACATGCTGGAGTTTATTATAAACCTGATTCATTGAAGGCCAAGCTATGTATCGAAGGTTTAAAGCGAATTTATGAATATTGTGATGCGAATCATTTACCATACAGAAAATGCGGCAAAGTCTGATGAAAAAATCGAAGTCTTTTTCAAGTATAATTTCGTTGTTTTAGATTATCGTTGCGGTTGAGCGTGATCAATTAGCACGGTTGGATGATTTATATCAGCGAGCAAAACAAAATGGTGTTCAGGATGTCAGAATGCTTGATTCGAATCAAATTCGAGAAATCGAGCCGAATTGTCGAGTAAAATGAGTTCTCGTCACGCAATTCTCAGCATTCGTTTTTGCTTTATTCAGGGTATTCGCGCCATCCATAGTCCACATACCGGTATTGTTGATTACGGTTTGTTGTGTCGACATTTTGGCAAAAGTTTCGAACAACTTGGTGGACGTATTGCACTTAATTTTGAAGCGGACAAGTTTCTTCCATCCGATGATCCCTCGTATCCAATACGAATAACAAGCAAAACTAACGTAAGTAATGTTTAACCGTTTTGCAAGGCGAGCAATGAATTTCGATGTTTTAGTCAAGTTATCTTAGTCGATATGTGATTACTTGTGGTGGATTACAAGCAGATCAACTTGCCATGGCTTGTGGAGGCTCAAAAAACCCAACTATTGTACCATTTCGCGGAGATTATCTTAAATTGAAAAGAAACACCGAGAAATTGAAGATTAATGGAAATATCTATCCGGTTCCTGACCCCAAATTTCCTTTTCTCGGTAACATGAGCATATAATCTTCCTCTTGTGTGCACAGATCTCGTTTCAATTCAGGTGTTCACTTTACTCCAAGAATGGATGGTTCAGTATGGCTTGGCCCAAACGCTGTTCTTTCAATGAAACGTGAGGGATATGGTTTGTTGGACTTTAGTCCTCGTGATATGATTGATCACGTATTAAATGGGTAAATCGAAATCAAATGGCTTAAATAACATCTCTTTTGATACCCTATTCTTTTAGTGGTCTTCGTAAACTTGCTTGGAAACATCTTGGTTATGGTTTTAATGAAATGCGTCGGGCTTATTCGTTGAGAGCAACCGTTCACGAATTACAAAAATTCGTTCCCGCATTGAATGTCAGTGACGTCGAGCGGTAATTACTTACGAGGATTCGATTTTTAAGAAATTTATCTGTGTGTGTTTCTTTTTGACGCAGTGGACCAAGTGGTGTTCGTGCACAAGCATTGTCATCTGATGGAAATCTTGTAGAAGATTTCGTGTTTGAAACAGTGAATACCGGCGATTTGAAAAATCGTATTTTACATGTTCGAAATGCACCAAGTCCAGCTGCTACATCTTCGTTACCAATTGCCGATATGGTTGTTGCTAAAGCAAAAGAATGCTTCAATCTTTGATTTTTTCCGTCTTTCCTCTTTTTTTGTACTTATTTAATTTTTAGTATAACGGTAGAATATTGATGGTTTCACTAAGGACAATGAACTTTATTTGTAGATAAGATTATTGTCAATCATCATGTCACTCGCTCAACAACTCGCAGAAATGGGTTTTCAGCAACCTCAAATGTACGTTGTTGTTCCATTTATATTTCTCTGTGTATGAATATTTCGTTTTAGAGATAGCGCGATTAACACAGGTAAAGCAGCGAATTTAGAACAAGCGATCGATTGGTAATGTTGATTGCCATTTGTTTGTATGAATGCGATTGTTTGTTTATTTAGGATCACATCACATGAAGGTGAAATCGCGTCGGGAGGTGTAGAGAGTGCTCAACCCACACTTAATTTGAGCTCTAGTACGGCAGCAACGACGACAGAAGCAGCTAGCGAAGCGAATTCATTGAAATGTGATGAGTAATGATAGAAGGATCGTCGTCTGCATTGGTTTTAATACGATTGGATTGATTGTAGATGTGGTAAATTATTGAAAGATGCTGATATGGCTACAGCGCATGCTTTAAGAACGAACCATTCAAGTTTTTCGGAATGTACAGAAGCGATTAAACCGCTAACAGTTGAGGAAAAAGAAGAAATGAAAAAAAAGTTAGTTTGATTATTCATATTCTTCAACTTTAGAATTCTTCTTCTTTATACTAGACTTCAGGAACGTATCGTCGCCAGACGTCAGGAGCAAAAAATAGCTGAAGAACAAAAAGCTATTGAAATGGAGAAGAAACGTATCGTTGATGGCAAAACTTTATCAGATTTAAAGCAAAAGTAACGATATTTTCCCTTCACACTTCTTTACATTTCATTGAGATATCTTTTTCCCATTTCAAGACGTGAAGAAGAAGAAATGAAGAAAATCGCCGAAGCCAATCGTCGTGAAAAGATCGAAACTCAACTCGCTAAACAACGTGCGATTGAACAAATTGAAGCCGATAAACGCGCTCGACGCGAAAAAGCCGCTGCTGAGAAGAACGGAGGAATTGTCGGAGACGTTCCTACACCTAAACCTCAACCCATCGTTCCTCCTCAACCCGCACGACAATACGATGAATGTAATTTACAAGTCCGTTTGTCTGACGGTTCGACTGTTCGTCAACTGTTCAAAGCAGCTGATCGATTCGAAAAAGTTATGGAATGGATTCGTGGAACTCAACAATCTGGTCCATTTATTCTTGTACAAAACTTTCCTAAGAAAGATTTCAATGAAAATGATAACCATAAGACATTGACTGAACTTGGTAAATCGATTAGAACGATCTCTTTTTCTATTATTTTCAATTATTTTTCAGGTCTCGTCCCGTCCGGATCATTGATGGTAAAAGCCTTGGCACATTTTCAAACATAGTTTGATTTCACTTCTGTCAATTCCTATTCTCTTTTTTTTACATAAATAAATAACCAAGACCATCGTGATATAAACAAGGATATATTTGTAAATCGATCATAAATGACAAGAGTTCGAGATTAAATTGCAATACACATCTGATTGAGAACATATTTTACTCCGAATTATTACTGTTAAAATGAGGATATCCACCACTGCTACCAAAACCGTTTAAACCACGGGTAGTATCGTCAAGTTTCTAAGAGAAAATTTTCGACGATTTGAGAAAACGATGATAAATTATGAACAAACTTGTTCTTCGACTAGATCAACCAATTCGATTTTTTCGCAAATCAATTGCGCAATACGATCACCACGATTAACTAATATTAAACAAAAACTTGAATCGATCATCGGAGGGAGTTTGTCTCTTACTGATAAAATCTGAATCATTATGATTAAACAAAACAACGGCAACATTACCACGATAATCTGCATCAATCACACCAGCTATTCCAAATGCAAATGTACAAATCATAGGAAGACAAAAATCTAATCCTACCTCCAGTATCAATGCCAAATTTAGCAGCGAGACCAGACCGAGGAGCTGAAAAATAATCCGATTAACTTCATAAACATTTTTCTCTAAATTCTCGCTCACCAATTCGACCGTAACAACCAGTTGGTACAGAAATTTGAATATCGGTTAGTGCTGTTAGCCTACCGCGTGCTGGTACAACATATTGATAAGCACTAGAGATTACCGTTCGGATGGAAAGTCGAATATAGGTGAGGATTACCTACGAAGATCCCAACCGGCGGCATCAGTTGAACCTTTCGATGGTGAAAATGCAAATTCTGTAAGTTTAGCAAATTTTAACAAAGCCTTTGTCGATGCCATTCGAAAGAGATATCTAGAATTCAATAAATTATATATCAAAAATCACCGGACAATGTCAAAAAATATAAAATCAAGGTTAATTATCAATCTCCTGAAGTTCTTCAACATCAAAACGATTATTTTTGCTCCATTGTGCAAATTCGATATAATTTGGTTCATCAACAAGTTTAAATTTAATTTGTTTACATTTTAATGCGCATAGTGTTCCTAATTCTGGTCTATCCATAAACTTTTGACAACCGCCCAACGAATCTCCACAAGTGCATTTTACCTCTCCTAGAATTATCAGACAAAACTATGTTAAAATCAATGTAAGAGGATCGCTTACCCATAACTAAATTCTCTTGGAAATTTGTGTATGTTTTGTCAAGTTTGCATTCTGTTCCCGTGAAAAACTCGACATTATTGATAAAATATGTTGTATTTCGTTTCTTCAACCACGAAAGTTCGCCTAATTTTGCATTACATTTGCGACAATATATGGCACCATCCTTTCTACCAACTTGTCTCAAGACATTTCTCTGCTTTTGTTCATTTTGTAAATCGGTTTCCCATGCTTTGATCAACGATTTCTTAAAAATAAACTTTCTATTACTGAAATGATCGTCACCAAACTACTTACAGTTTTAGCCTCAACATCATTACGAAATTTTTCTTTGTCAAATCTTGGCCATTCAGCAATAGTCTCCTCCATATAGTCTTCGCGGGTTTTATTGTTTTTTTCTCGCGTATGATTGATTGAATCTTGTTCAGTGATTAGATAGTAAGAGCTATTTTGTGCACGTGCACGTCCACGTGACTGAATCGTTCCAATTTCATCCGAGACAAACTCATAACGAATGACATACGAACATGTCGGAATATCCAAACCTTCTTGTACAATATCTAAACGACAAAACGATCGAACGAATGACTACTATTGCATTGCTTACCTGTCGCAATCAACACATTACATTCATCTAAAAGTTTACATGATAATAAGCAGAACAACTCGATGAAAACTAACTTCCTCGGAATTGTTGTAGTTTTGCTTCTTGATCATGTATTGTCAACGAATGATCGGCACTATTTTGACCGACAATCCATGTTGGTTTCACAAGATTCTACAAAATGAAGTCGTGAAGATAATAACACGTGTCAATGCCGATTTACTATTAGTTCAGGATGTGTAGATAGATAATCATGAAGTGTTTTTACATAAAATGTGGTTTTAACCAGAACGAGACCTATAATAAAATCGATATTTTCGATAACAAAACACAATTGGCAAGAATTTTCGCACCTTTGGTCGCTCCTAAAGCATGCCGTTTCAAAAGTTGAACTAATGACTCCAATTTCGGATTGACTGCTGGATGTTCCGTATATTTCTCTAAAATATTTTTTAGTTCTGTTCGACATCGTTCGTACAGCGTGTCATCCATATCAACAGGACGTTCATATCCGTCATGATATTGGTCGATTTTCTCTTTTATACTTTTCACTACCATATCAAACGGCAAATCTCGAAGTGCGGAATATTTTTTTGTCAGCAGTAATAAATAATCACAGATAATCGTATTGTTCACATCGCCTTTCATCTCGAACGACCGTTTTAATAAAACTAACTGACCAATAAAACTCGGCGAGCCGATCTCATGTTCATTTAACGATCCTCTATTATCCAAATGCTGTTTGATCTGTTCGACCAGACCTTTATACATTTTGGAATATTCATCAAAATAAGCATCATATTGAAACGTCTGTACGCATTCAAATTGATCATTTTTCGGCCGACTAATCTCACGATTCATTTCCTCGATATTCGCCGGATCACATACAGTTGAGATGGTTAGACTTGCCATCTTACTACATATACTAACGAGATTTTTGTCAATCGGCTCCTTCTTTTCATTCGCATCTTTCGCACTCACGGTTGCCGTTAAGCCGATAATCAAAGGTATTGAAGATGTGCTCTGCTGTTTCATTGGACATAAGTAATACTGCATAATTTCGCAATATGGATTTCCACCGGATGTGTTATGACATTCATCAAAGATGAGTAAATCTAATTGTGCTAAGCGTACCGTTCCTTTGCTGAGGCAATTGCCGAATTTTTTTGGCGTTGCGACGATGACATGATGAGTATCGATTAATTGATCGATGGTTTGATCGTCTTGACATAACTGAACTCGTAGGTTACCGATCTCAGACACGGCTTTGGCCTGTTGCAATCGAATAGCTTTCCGCGGGACAAAGAATAAAGCCGAAAAGTTTGAATTCGGTTGCTCTTTTTGTTTTTTGATAAAATAGTATTTGATTAGAACAGATGCGATAAAGGTTTTACCCGCGCCGGTACGAAGACAAACAATGGTGTTTTTATGGCGAATAGCGTCTCGAATAATCTCGATTTGGTAACTTCGAGGATGTTGTTTCAGACCGAGCACTTTCGAATAATCTTCGGTCCATTCACATGCATAGTCTTCAAACGGTTTTAAATCGATACTTTGAAAGTCCATTGGTTCTGCAACAGGAGGTTCAAACGGAATCGATGGAGCGCTTTGCGGTTCAGCTGAAAAAAAGAAATAAATCATGAATAATAGATATGGAAATAGTGTAGATTTACTTTGGGAAAGTAAAGTAGCAGTTCCTCCATCCTCATCTTCAATATCTAGCATAATGTCGGCTGAAGTTGGACAATTTGATTGGCTCGGCTGTGAGATAGTCGAAGCTTCGTTTCGATCTTGTTCTGTTTGATTAACTTTCGATATGAGTTTGTCATACTCTAAACAAAATAGATTCACCGAGGAAACTCTATCGATTTAGAATTTTACCTGATAACCGTTTAACACAATCTTCTCGGTTAATCTCTCGTAATGCACGAACGAGATATCCGGAATTAGTTGAAGATATTTTCGCGCCATCCAAAAGTCGTTGAAATGCATCGATTGAACTTGATAGTGAGCCATCCTCTTGTAATGTACGTGGAATATCTTCACCGAATAAGAAATGCAACTGTTTCCGATCACTGTCACTCAATAAGTTTTGAATTTTGATCAAAACCACGCGAAAATCGAAATCTTCGCTCATTATACCAATCAGATTAATCTAAAACAAGTACAAATCGAAAGATAATTGTGAGTATGCGCCCTCTGAGTATTGCATGTCGAAGGAAACCCTAAAAATATTTGCAACAACTCTATAGTACAATACTAAATTCGTAAACACTGTATTGAAAAAGCACTGAGCATTGAGGTTATAGATCACCGGGAAGAGAATCACAAGCGTCATAAAAAATATCATTGTCATCATCAGCATCATTTGGACATGAGTCGTCGACGAGAAAAGGAATATCGAATGGTACTGTTGACCATTTCTTTTTCATGATGGTTTTTTCCTTTTCATTAGTGTTGTCGATGTATTTGATTTGAACTGCTTTGCATTTTAGTGGATAAATTGGACTGAATTGTGGATAATCTCGTAGGGATAGAATATTACCGAGTCTAACGCGACATTCTTTACTTCCACAATGTGCTTCACCTAGAAAATATAGGAGAGAAGCATCGTCTGATGTGTGATTAGAAGACGAAGATTACCGATAAGGGTACTTTTTGCGTATTCCTCTGGTGTATCGAAAGGTTTCTCTTCGACACGATTATAAAAATCGCGTTGATTAAGAAAATATGAGTCACCATGTCGACAAAGTTGTGCAAGTTGTCCAAGAACATAACCGCAAGCACGACATGAAACTTCGCCAGTTAACTCAAAGGTTTTTGCATTCACTGATTGGGCGATCGCGAGTTTGATCAAATTTGCAGTCCACTCAGCAACCAAAGATTCCTGAAAGAAGCCCGACATCACATGACTTTTTCATGAGAAAATCTTCACCTGAACTTTTTGAACGCGTTCTTTGAATTCATCTTGAGAAATTCCTTTCCATGTTTCCAGCACTTCTTTCAAATCTTGTTCATATTTACGACTATCCTTTTCCTTATTATAATTTGCGGAATCTACAAGATCAACAACTCAAATTGATATTCAATCCTCCGGACAAAACATTACCTTTAGTAGTGATCAGACAATATTTACAATCTCCAGTATGTGCACGAAGACGTCCTTGAAGAGTTCCAATATTATCCGGAACGAACTGAGAGGATATTTTCCGAAAATCAATTGATTTCTGTTATTTCTTGATTTGACTTACATCATATCGAAGTACCAGCGAACATTGAGGAGTATTCAGACCTGCTTGAATAGCATCAGTCGCAATCATTACATTGTAAATACCTAAATTACTTTCGGAATAGATTTATCCTGAAAGATTTTGTTCAACAAACCAGTTTGAAATCCTTCGAGTGTGGTGGTTTGGTTTTTATTTACTTCTCGAGCGTTAGAACCAGTATTACCAACGAGACAACACGGTTTAATTAAGTTCTATGAATTTAATAAGTAATGCGAATAAAGATGAGAAAGAGAAAACGAACTTTCAAATCGGGATGACTTTGCAGAAATTCACAGATCTTTTTCGCATAAAATGTTCGTTCCACTAAGATCAAAACTAAAACAATCAACATTTCATGGATGAGAACACAAATTAGACTTGTTATTACTTCGATGATTCGGATTGGCTAGATGTATTTTCAATAAATCAACAAGTTTCTCCAATTTTGGATTCATCAACAACTTGCCCGATTCTTCAAGTTCGGCTAATTTCTTCTTAAACACACTTTGACATTTTCGATAAATCATTGTATCAATTTGCAATGGATGTTCTCGACTTTTGTATATCGTTTCAAATTGCTCTTTTAAATCCAGCAGAACCATTTGTGGTGTTAAGTTTGTCAATGCTTTTAAATGCCGATAGATCACCAAAATGTAATTCAATAAAAGCACCGAAGGAAAATTGCAAGCTTTTTGTTGAGATTCTTTGAGTAGAACCAAACTTTGTTCGTAACCATTCGAATGTATGTCCTTTTCGGAGAAAATTCGAAAAGGATTTGTTTCGCGATTGATGAATAATTCTAGAATTAATTCTTCCAGTCCTTTTTCAATCGATGATTTCGATTTTTCGTAGTCTGTTTGTTTGTCTACACATATAACTTCACCTTCGGATATCCCGGTTGCACATCGTTCGAGTTCTTCTTGATTCTCCTTGTTTAAAACAGTCGTCATGGTCATGCAATTGAACGTTGCACAAAGATTCGCTAAGTTCGGAACAATCTGCGAAGAATTCATGTGATGAACACCTACAAATTAGTATAGATTCACACAAATCAACTCTCTCACAATATCCTACCAATCGCTGTTAAACCAATGATAACTGGTGGTGTCTCGACTGGTGGAATTTGCTCGATATTTTTACATAAAATATACTGCATGATTTCGATGTATTGACTGCGTATGGGGCTATCGTGACATTCGTCAAAGCAAAGCACGTCGATGTTAGAAATCAAGATTGTTTTCATTCGTAAACATCTAGTAAAAAGTGTTTCTCGATGATTTGACGACAAGAACAAGAAAGATTACTTGATGAGTTTTTGCGGTGTGCAAACGATAACATCTGAATTGAGAACGTACTGTGTAGCATCGTTTGCCTCATCACAGATAATCACCCGAAGATTGCCGATTTGTTTTAACTTGTTCGCTTGTTGCTTTAACATCGCACGTCGTGATACAAGGAAAAATGCCAGAAATTTCTTGTCATCTTTGACGGTCAGCTTTTTAATCAGGTAATATTTCAACAACAAAGCTGAAAACATCATCGATCTTGACTCTTTCGCGTGTGAAAAGGAATTTATTTACCAGCAACAAAGGTTTTTTTGCCACCGGCTCGAAGACAGATGATGGTATTTCGAACTTTAATAGCATTTTGTACCAATTCACGTTGATATTCGTACGGTCGAATGTTGCTCAAATGAATTTTCTCGAGAAACTCATCTGACCATAGGCTACTCTCGAATATTTTCAAATCGATGTTTTCAACAGTTAACGGAACGATTTCCGGCGAAGGTTCTTCAAGTATCGGTGGAGTTATCGGACCAATCGATGGTAAATCTATCACAAGAAATCATAGTAATGCTCACTACAGAACGTCTCGTCTTACCAGAAGTGAATGTCATGGCATCGGTAGAGTTAAAATCATTGATTATTTCCATCAATGATGAATGATTATTCTGATAATCTTCGGTTGATGAGTTATTCTCTAACGGCTGAGTATTTTCCAACGTTGGCGATGGAACAGGAGGCACGGATTCTTTGAACAATAGACGAAACATCGAATGTAGAGGAGAAAAATTAACAAGGGGTATTTACGAGCTTCGAACTGAGCGATTCGATATGCTACGGTAAGTAATTTCATGGATTCAAATATCTTGACGAGATATTCACAACTGGATTTGGATATGTGTCCACGATTGATCAGTTCCGTGAAGATGTCAACAAGTGGTCCGTCTTTAATTCTCCGTGGAACATCGTCGGCGAGTAAGAAAACAAACTTCTTGCGCTCTTCATCGGACAAATCATCTTCAATGGCAAGCAGCAACGCACGAAATTCACGCTCGGATGGCATCGATACAATCTGAAATAGTATAGCAGCTAAGAAGACTCATATTTAATCTTGAGAATAAAAAAGAACTCGATGAACAAAAAAACACTTTCAAAAATAGTTCATAACATTGTTAATCATCGGCTTCACGAAATGATGCGGCGGGTTCAGCGGGTGTTCTTGTGTATTCTTTCAGTCTTTTAACTAAATCTATGCGGCCGATGGATTGAAAACAGCTGATTAATAAATTAACATTGTTCGGACCGATCTGTTGGCGTTCAATCAAAGCGTCCCAGAGAATATTCATTGATGAACGACTATCGTGAGCAATGGTATCGAGGATTTGCCGGGGTGCAGCGTCACCGAGGAAAAACACGAGTGATTGCCGATTTTGCATGGACAAGCGATCGCCAATATCGATGAGAAGAAGACGAAAGGTATTATTATTGGCCGCAGCCATCTTGAAAAGAAGAGAAAATCCGTTCGTATTTAATATCAATCAACACAAATCGTTTAGAAAAAGATACCAATGTTTAGTTTTTCGCCTAATTCAATAGATTAGTTCCAACATTTTTGCTGCTAATCTTCCTAATTTATATATGAATAATCTACTATCTACAAGATGATTGTAAACAAATAACAACGATTTTTAAAAAGAAAGGCAAAGACTTGTTTTGATTTATTCGCGAATAAGTTCCGCGATCATACAATAGAGATAATAGAAGAACGAAACCATAAAAAAGCCTAATTTAATCCATCCTTCACGTTGTGCTGAATTCAATATTTGAGCATTCATGATTGTCGTTGGATCGTACACACCGAATCCACTTCGCATTGAACGCGTGCGGAATTTATTGATATGATAGGCAATCAATGGCATGTTGAAAAACAATGTCAACCATTGACCACCGAATAGAAAAAGTAAATTGATGAATATATGAGTTCCGTACTCAGGTAGAACAAGTGGATTTAAAGCATTGCATTGTTCAATGGGATTCTTGTGATCGTTTTTCAATTCATCGAACGCGATAATCTATGAAAAGATTGGAAAAAAACACGTGTTGTGTAGAAGATGGAAAGGAATGGTAAAGAAAACAAAACAAGTCTTACATGCCAGATTGCAAAAAAGATAAGCAATGCGGTGAGAATGAGTGCGACAATGTAAGCAAACGCGACGAATGTAAATGCCATTTATGATCTGAACACGTATGGAGGTTGAAAATCACTTAGAGTGTAAATTGAAATAGACGAGAACACGAATGAAATGATAGCAATGAATGTTGAAAAAACAAATGCGAGTGAAAGAAAGTCATTGGCTCCCTTGGAACAAGTGTAACAAGAGCGCCACAGACAAAGTAGACGAAAACAATATCTTCGTCTTATTCACAAAATATGATGTATTCAATAAACCAAAGATAAGAACAAGTTTTCGACAGTTTAAAATATGTTGGAAAAATAAAACTATGAAAGATTTTAGAATTCTTTTCAATAAGTTGGCAAAATATGTATGTGGAAAATGCATAACAAAGATGATACGTATCAAACTTGTCCTTTTCAATTTAACAACATTTCGGAAGATATAGACAGTCGTTCTCGAATTTCTCTACAAACATCAAGATGATTTGCTGAGATAGTTTGAACAACTCACGTGTGGATCTTTACATAGCTCGCAAATGAGAAGAAGAATAAGAAAAACGGAAGAAGCTCGTAGATAAACACTTGAAAATATTCTATAGAACAGGCACGACAAGGGACGTGCCACACCGAGTCTATTATTCGATCTCTGTGCCAAAGGACTCGCTTAGTCAAATGAAATACTCTTCTCTTCAAGTTAATAAAAATAAACGATCCTAATCGTACACAGGTAATGTCGATTTCAACAAATTTGTTTTATATCCTGCAATTACTAAATATAAAACTCAAATGAACTTCTATCGATTTCCGTTGAACATTTGTCAGTATGAAAGCATCCATCCAAGCATTTGATAATTCACTAAACACAGAAAATAAGCAACGTTCGTCATTTCATATTAGAAAGGCGTACACCCGACGAAAGTATCGTTTACATCAATGTATAATTGCTCGTTAGTAAACTGACTCCTACGTTGATTAATGCACACATATTTCCATCAATGGATTGATTTTCGCTTTCATTAGCATTCTACATGTCCTCAAATGATCGATTGTATTCATAGCGAGATTTTAATCTTAATTACATGTTTATCCCTCAAAGGAAAAAATCCAGGTGAACTTGATACGATTGTACTCGTAGTCATATTCAAAGTACAGGTAAAGTATGGTGATCAGAGCAATGAGGATTCGAATTTTTTTTTCTTTCTCTATGTTCGAAAACGGAATGTGCCGTGATCAGTAGTTAGTGTGTCTCAAGTTGCATCCGTTGACTATTGGTAGTTCTGTTTATTTATAATAGATTTTACAAGAGTTTATCGATATGTATCTACAATTAATAGGAAACATCTTGAAAATGATTTATGTCAGACGAAGATTTCATACAGATTATTAGAACTTGCCAAATACCTTCTAATTATTAATTTCACGTACTGAATCAGTTTTCACCGAATGATTAGCCGTCAAAAAATCGTTATATATTAGTATCTCCGCTTCATAGACAACATGATAGATCTTGCCTAACAACGTCTTTTGCGAGCATTTTCTTTTCTTTTCCTTTTCCCGGTTACAAGGCCGATGTACCGAGTGCATTTTTCCGTTATGCAAAAATAAAACAGCATGGATAGCTTTTTTCTGTATTTGTCTTGAGAAAAAAAAAGCTACGTCGATAGTAACGAGCAGAACGGATAATCTCTGCTAGGAAGGGAAATATTCTCTATGCTGTTTTGGTTACTGGTTAATATTTTTACAAATTTAGTTAGAATGAGCATATAGCGCCAATTAAACCTTTTTTTCTAGAATTAAAATTAAAATTTCTTTCAAAAACAAGTTCAATGGCTTCAATGGAGACTCGACAATCGCGACCGAGTAAGTAGCAAATAAGTAACATTTTCACATTCTTATCAATGATGTTATTTGTAGTTTCATTTTGGTGTTCAATACGTGTGGCTGTTGCCTTTGTTGGATTTCTAGGCATGGTAGCACACTATTCACAGAAGATTAGTGTTGGTATTGCTCTTGTTTGCATGGTCAATCATACAGCAATCAATCAACATAAATACAGTCATGCAATACCACTAACACAAGCTGACATTGACTGTCCACGCGCAAATAATACTGTGAAGATTGTGAGTTTGCTTCGTAATGAAGAAATTCTAGTACTAACAGCGCTTGTTGACAGGAAGGTCCATATCCATGGACCAAAAATATTCAAGGTATTGTTCTCGGAGGTTATTTCTGGGGTTATTTGATTACTGAGATACCCGGTGGTTATTTGGCTAGTCGATTCGGTGCACGTTTTATTTTTGGTATAGCAATGATTATTTCGGGTCTTGTCACGATAATCATGCCATGGGGTGCAAGTTTACACTATGGAGTTCTGTGGTTTTTTCGATTAATTGTCGGTCTTGCACATGGTGTCATTTGGCCAAGTATGACTGTCATCATGGCACACTGGGCACCGCCTAGTGAAAGAGGCAAACTTGTTGGTTTTATGAATGCTGGTAAGAACAGTTTGTGCAATTGATGATAGATTTGTTTCACTTGTCGATTGTGATAGGTGCTCAAATTGGTAATGTTTTAACTTTGTCGATTGGTGGATTGATGTGTTCATGGAATTTTCTTGGTGGTTGGCCATTGATTTTCTATACCACTGGTATTATTGGTCTGATCTGGGGTGTTTTTTGGTTATTATTCTATACTGACTCACCTCGTGACCAACGTTGCATAAGCAACGATGAAAAAGAATATATTCTTGAAAGTACTCAACAACAATTATCGAGTCATAGCAAAAATGAATTCGAAGCGCCGTGGAAAGCTATTTTAACATCGCCGGCGTGTTGGGCGTTGTTTATCATTCATACATGCAACAATTGGGGAACATACACGTTTCTTACATCCATACCAAAATATATGGCTGAAGTGCTAAGATTTGATATAAAATCAGTAAATAGATGATGAATCTGCTTGAAAAGAAAAAACTCGATTCTCTTGAAATATTGTAGAATGGTTTACTTTCGTCATTACCATACATGATTTTCTGGCTTAACATCAATATATCCGGTGTATTAGCTGATCTTTGTATTCGAAAGAAGATTTTAACGCGAACACAAACACGAAAATTCTTCAATGTCCTAGGAAACTTATTTCCAGCTATATTTGTCATTGGTTTAGCATTTATGACTTGTAAACTGAAATATGTTGCTGTAGCTTTATTAACTATTGGTGTCACATTCACGTAATGTATCCTTCTCGTTCTTGATTATCCACTTTGACGTTCTACTTTCAGAGGATGCTGCTACGGTGGAGGTTTTATGCTAACTGCTAATGATATTGCTCCAGCTTATGCAGGAATCGTTTTTGGTATTTCGAATACATTCGCGACTATTCCAGGAATTATTAGTCCTTATATCGTTGGAGCTCTAACAGAAAAGGTATATGTTTTTAGAAGAGTTTTATATAGAATTGAGTATTTAACGAATTGAATAGGATCCGAATAATTGGCGAATCGTATTTTTTATCTGTGCAGCAATCTATATACTTGGGATGATCGTATTCTTAATCATCGGATCAGGTGAAATTCAACCATGGGCAGTGAAGCATGCAGTGGCACCAGTACCCGAACAAGTCCCTCTAGCAGGTAGATCGATTTCAAAGAATATAAACACAAAAATATGTGAGTGTTTTTGAAGGACCAAGCACAACTTCATCATTGAAACCAACACCAACTTGACCTTCAGATATTCAATTCCTGACTTAGATCCGCTTTTTCTCGTCAATGCATGTGTTTCAAATGTAGTTCTATCTTCATTCATGTAGTATTTAGTAAACAGTGTCACACTCAGTGAGTTCGATATAGTCCAATATATTCGCTGGCGAACTGAGGCCATCTATACTATGAATAGAATTGATGAAAATATTTGGAATCAGAAAGTGAACTATTGACAAAAATTATAAGCAAAGAGAATTGTTCTGTGAAAATCTATACAGAAAAGGAGGTTGGCATTATGAACACAAAATGAGATGAATCATGTCGTTCTGACAGTGATTTAATGAATGAATGAAACTGCCTATCTTCTCTTCCTAGCTGACTATGATATATCATTTATTTAGTTCGTTTCGTGTTCACATAAGAAGTACCTGGAAGGTTTGATTTATCGATTTTTATTCCACAAGTCTTTCTGAAGATTTGTCAGTAGTACTGAACATGTTTTTATCGAAGCGTTGAATTGACTGGTTGTTTTTTTTGTAAAAACGTAAAATCCAGATGGCGCTCTATAGATGTTTCTCTTCCTTCTAGAACACTAATTAAAACACTCACAAATGTCGAACAAAATTCCAGCTGAACACGTTCGTCTTCTGAAACAGTTCGTTAACTTGTGTGAAGCGCAACCCGCTTTACTTCATGCACCGGAATTGGACTTCTTTCGACAATGGCTCTCGACGTAGGAGATCATCAAATGTAATAGAATCGTCAATGATTCATCACTATTATTTAGGTTAGGTGCAACGATTCCTACTCCGAAAGCACAAGAAAGTTCACATTCAACAAAAGTCGATGTCGAAGATGAAGAAGAAGAAACACCGTCAGCGAGCCACAAAGCAGAACCACCAAAAGTCGAAAGTGAACCCGAAAGTGATTTAGGTAAAAGACTTTTTGTCGAATATCTTCGTTATATTTTTCATTTCGTTCCAATAGAATTAGATACAACTGGCGTTGTTGAAGGAGATAATGATGCACCACAGCCGATGGGAGATGTCAACGCTGAGGTAAAATCGCATGCGAAGAGCATCTTTTGAACTATATGAATTTCATTGTATGCAGGTAACAGATGCAATGTTAGAACAAGCCGATGCTAAACGGGGCGAAGCTCAAGCGAAACTTTCTGAAGGCGCGATCGAAGAAGCAATTTCATTATTTACACAAGCAATTGAAAACAACCCACAATCGGCGATTCTTTATGCTAAACGTGCCCAATGCTATATTAAACTACAGAAGCCTAATGCAGCCATACGGGACTGTACTCGTGCCTTAGAAATCAATGAAAATTCGCAACAAGCATTGAAATGGAGAGGAAAAGCGCATCGGTATACATTGAATAGACGCTTTTTTTTTGGTGAAACATTCTCTTTTGTTGTTTAGTATGTTGGGTAACTGGGAAGCAGCTTACAAAGATTTTTGTAAAGCTCAAATCTCTGATTTCGATGAAGATGTACAAACATGGTGTAAAGAAGTTGAAGGGAATGTAAGACGGTTTTTCGACAATGTGTCTTTATGAGTAAATATTCGAATTTCATGTAGGCCAAGAAAGTTGCTGAACATAAACGTAAATATGAACGCCGACGAGAAGCCAAAGAAATCGAAGCTAAACGCGAACGTATTCGCAAAGCTCAAGAAGCTTATGCCAAAGCACAACAGGAAGAAAATGAAAGACGAACACGCGAACAACAAGCTCGTGCAGCTGGTGCACACCAATTCCCAGGTATATCTCGGTAGCTACTTTCAATTCTCTCTATTTACGTGCTATTCGCATAGGCGGTATGGGAGGCATGGGAGGCATGGGCGGCATGGGAGGTATGGGTGGTATGGGCGGAATGGGTGGTATGGGCGGTGGCGCCGATCTCGGAGGATTGGGCGCTATGCTCAACGACCCAGAAATAATGGAAGCATTACAAGATCCTGACGTACAAAAAGCTTTCTCGGTAAGAAGCATTGGAGAAACGTTTTTGTTATTGAGTTTATCGACCACTTTTGCATTGAACGTTCGCTCATCGAGTGATATTTTTTTAGGAAGTCAGCGCAGATCCGTCGAAAATAGCCGCACATCAGAGTAATCCAAAAGTGCGTAAAATTATGGAGAAACTTGCTGGTAAATTTGGTGGTGCCGGTGGACCCATGGGAGGAATGGGCGGAATGGGAGGTGGCTTTCCCGGCTTTCCAGGTTAGTATCCTGTAAATTTCATATATCACGAACTTCGATCATCATACGTTCACTTTAGGTGATATGGGTGGTGGTGCATCGTCTGCTAATGATCTCGATTAGTTTGGTTGTCTTATTCGAAGGCGTTTGAAAGACAAAATTTTTTCCCAACAAAATTATTTCACTTCATTTCGAGAGATTAACCAAGAACGTTTCATAAATCAGATCATTGTCATGCCGTTTTTTTTTAATAGAATAAAAATCGAAAAAATTCCCGGAGACTTTCACTTCCGATATTGGATTTTCAATAGTCGAGGTAAGACTTAATGTTGTGTATGTAATCAATCTTTTTTTCCCGTTTGACGAACAAAACGTAACGACAAAAATAACAAAGGAGAAAAAAAACAAATAAACAAACGAAGAAAAAAAACATAGACGACTGGAGTTATTTTCTCTCTTACACAAGTTGTAGATAAACTTATACAACGTATCGATTGAAGATCTCGATTAAAAGAGGCAAACAAGAAAAAAACAAAGGTAACGCTGATGTTAAACAGAAATTTATTTGTCATCATCAGAACAAAGCGAAGATGGTGAACGAATTTTATTGGTGTGGAATTCTGATGACATAGAATTGATGAAAGAACATTTGTCTATCTCTTTAAATAAGATCGGCAACGTTCATTGGCATTTCTTGAATTTGGGTATTATAAAATTGTTCTATATCACGTAAAGTTCGTCGATCGTCATCGGTTACAAAATTGATTGCCACACCTTTACGACCGAATCGACCACCGCGACCAATACTATAAACGCGAAATGACACTCCCTTACAAATCTCGTTCTTATTGGTTTTTTTTCTTACCGATGAATATAATTTTCTCGATTATTGGGTAAATCGTAGTTAATAACAAGACTAACTTGTTGAACATCGATACCACGTGCAAGTAGATCTGTTGTTATTAGTACTCGACTGGAGCCGGTTCGAAATTCTTTCATAATTATATCACGTTCCTTTTGATCCATATCACCGTGCTAAAAACAAAGAGAATAATGAGCATTTGTTAATCAATATTTGTTCACTCTTGTGAAGAAAAACACGAAAATGACTTTACGATTGATTAGAACTTCAATTTATGGCCAAGTCCAGTACATTAGATTTATGAAGGACAACGAAATCAATGCTTGGTAATATTGGCCAGGTGAGCTACGGAGGGAAACTTACCATAGCTGAGACGGTGAAATCGCGTGCGCGCATTTTCTCTGTTAACCAGTCAACTTTTCGACGTGTATTTGAAAAGATAACAGCTTGTGTAATGGTTAGTGTTTCGTATAAATCGCAAAGTGTATCCAATTTCCATTCCTAAATCATTCGAATAGTTGAGATGAAGATGAATGATTGTTGAGTTACTTCTCGTTCGACAGTGACATAGAATTGTCGAATACCTTCAAGTGTTAGTTCTTCTTTTTTCACGAGAATTTTTATTGGATCATTCATAAATTTAGTTGTCACTTCAAGAACGTCGCTCGGCATCGTAGCTGACAAAAGAATCACTTGAATACTCTGTGGCATTGTTGTGAAAACATCATAGATTTGTTCCTTAAATCCACGAGATAACATTTCATCAGCTTCGTCTAACACGAACATCTTTATACTTTTGCTACCTAAGAAACAAATCGATTCATTTCACATATTTCTCAACAATTCGAATTCATACGGAGAGCTGAACGATTAAGCATATCATAGACACGTCCAGGTGTTCCAACCACAATTTGAACACCAGTTTCCAATCGTTTAATATCATCACGAACATTGGTACCACCAATGCAAGCGTGACAAGTGACGCCCATATAATCACCGAGTGCTAGGACTACTTTTTGAATCTAGACACAAACGAATCAATTATATGATTGCATTTCGAACACTCGAGATTTTACTTGTTGTGCTAATTCTCGAGTGGGTGCTAAGATAAGTGCTTGGCAATCTTTACATTCCGTATCAAGTTGCTGTAATATTGAAATAGCGAATGTGGCCGTTTTGCCGGTACCTGATTGAGCTTGTGCGATAACATCATGGCCTAAAGAACATGAATTTGACTTGCTAAAAACAAATTCCAAGGAAACGAACCCAAAATACAAGGTTTAATAGCACGTTGTTGAATAGCTGAAGGTCGTTCAAAACCATAACCATAAATACCACGTAAGAGTGGTTCACGCAAATTCATCTGATCGAAATTTTCGACCACTTCGTTCCAATTACTCTCGATAATTCCATCTAAACATGAAATCAACAAGTTTTATCTCAAAGACATGCTTCTCTCGAATTTTTTCTACTAACCAGGTTCCATAGATGGAACACCGCTGTTCGAGTTCTGGTTGTTGTCATTCCTGTAGAAAAGAACCGAGAATAGACTTTCCAGTGAAGAAATCTACCTACTTGTCTTTAGACATTGTATTTGATTAGTGACATAATCTGAAGAAAACTGTAAAAATGCATAGTGAACGTTGTTTACGCAAACTAGACACGAAATCAAGTAGAAATACACTTTTTTCGAGAGTTGGGCAGACGCATCTGCAACATGGTGGATTACGAAACTTGCTCTCGTTAAAATACAGACCGATGAAGTTACATCTCTAGAGAGGGCATAACCAAACTAAAAATTTTCTGGGAAAAATTCACGCATAGAGAATTTTTGTCGCTATTATATACTCGATTGAAGAATTAATTTGACAAACAGTTGCTCATTCCAACAATTATTGTCGCTGGTAGGATGAAGTGTTTCTAAAACAGTAATGCAGTTAGAACGAGAAGAAGAAATCTTGCTTAGTGACGATGACAAATAGAATTGTACAACGAAGTTCGTACTCAGTTAAGCACTGCATTGATCAAATGATTTACTTCTGAAATTTTCAGGAGTCAGAAATCAGATAATGACTATGTTGTTCTCGATATCGATGTATTGTATGAGTTGATTGATTGATCGTTATATGTTCATTTTGTTCTATTGGTGTGCAGAGAAACAAATGGAGGTCGATATGAACAGGACAATGCGCCATATTTAGATCGATGGTAACGATCTCGATGGAATTCATTCGAAATTGAATTGAAACGATGTCGTTTTTGAAGAGCGCATTCTCATTTAAACGAGCCAAACCACGAAAGGATGTTTCGAAAAACCCGCTGAAGTTCTCAGCTGAAGAATCGTATTGTGAGTTTGGTCCACTCAGTAATCTTATAGATATGAGATTTGTTGATCAAAAGTTCCTATTCAATACCGAAAATGGACGTTGGAATACAGGTAAATCAATCGCGAAATGTTACACGAAGAAGAACGTCTTTTTCGTTTAGCAAACACAGAAATTCTTGCACAAGGTATTTCAATCGACACAGCAGATAACATTCGAAAGCAGATTCAAATGTTACAGGAAGAAAATAATCTTCTTCAAGTTAAAATTCAAGCATTATTCAACTTAATTTCCGAATCGATTGTCGAATGGGTATCGAGCCATCGTTAAAATCTTAATAAACTTAATTTTCTACATTTTTTTTCTCATTTACCTGAACAGTAGACATAGTTTCATATCTAATAAATTCATAATCTGATCGCATTTCCTATTGCGGAAGCGAACACCATCACTGAGAAGCCATATCAACTACTGTCCTCTGTCGACTTCATGTCTATGATTCGTAATTTACATATAACCAACAAGATGTTCTAGTCTTAAGACTTTTTTTTGACAGATGTATGTCTAATGAAAACCTTTCAAAATGTCTCAGAGATTATGAACGACCTATTAAACATGTGCCATAAAAAGTACCGTCGAACGAGAAAGAAGTGTCTATGCCGAAGATAAACACTCTCTTACGAAGAGAACGTGCTTCATCGTGTTCTGCTATTTTATTACTCCTTATTGATTCTGTCCCTCCTCACCCCTCCCCTCTAAAGTGTATAGGAAAAGGAAATTTTTATATACTGAATCATTTTGCACGACGTAACACACTTCGTAGCTTTTTGAGAATGTGTGATACATCCCCGTTTGCTACGAATGATCGTCTGACCAAACGAGGAGAAACATTTTTGTATTGAAAAATTATGAAAACAAACACTACGCAAGCAATTTTACGGTAGGACGAATCACTAAAGTATTCTATTCAATCATTAATAGAAAAATTATATATTCCGTGTTGACTAACTTGAGAGTTACTAAGAACATACAGGTAAATCGATCGAAAATCAATTCTCCGATTAAGTGATTATTGCACAAAGAGAGAAGTTCACTTGCCAATCTGCATTTCAGATAGATCTGAATGGCCAATGTATTTCTTCAATTCTTACTCGATGTTGAAAATGGAGACTTAGCAGCGGTTAAACGAAACATCACTAATGGAATTGATTTAGAAACACGTGATGAAGTAGGACGAAAAGACATTCAAGATAGTTCTATGCAAATTTTTTGATACTAGGATCATCAAACAGCTCTTATTCTAGCTGCGAGGTGTAATCATGTAGAATGTGTGAGGACTCTTCTTGAAGCTCATGCAGATGTCAATGCCGAAGATGTGGTATGTATAAGCCGACAGTTTATTTTTAATTAATCAAAATTTCGATTCCAGGATGGTTGGACAGCGTTATTAAATGCTTGCCAAAATGGCAATTTGGAAATTATCCGTTTACTCGTCGAACACGATGCACAACTGGAACATGCCGATTGTGTAAGTTCCCAAGAGATGAATAGACAACGATAATCATATTTTTACTAAATAGGGCCAATTTACCCCATTAATGTGGGCTTCGTATCAAGGACATACGAAAATTGTTGAGTACTTATTAATGTGCGGTGCTAATGTCGATGCTGTCGATGAACATGGAATATCAAGTTTAAGTTGGGCAGCAGGTCGAGATCATATTAACATCGTAAACTTATTACTAACTGCTGGCGCGTTGCCGAATCTGTGGGATAAAAATAATACAACACCATTGATATGGGCGAGTCGACGAGGTAGATACGAAATGAAGCTTTGAAATGATTCATTCGTATATTTTCCCTCGTAGGCTATACGAGAGTTGTTGATGTGTTATTGAAAAACAATGCTAGTGTGAATAATATTGGAATGAAAAATATGACGGCGTTACTTGCTGCAACAAAAGGTGGTTATGCTGAAACTGCTCTTCGTCTCCTAGAAAATCGAAACATTGATATTAAAATTCAAGATAAGGTATAATTCGATTCACTTGTTTTGTTTCATCGAATTTTCTCGAAATAAATTCATTCAAGGACGGAGAAACACCGCTAAGTTATGCTTGTGCTCATGGATTGACAACGGTTGTTGCTGAACTTATTCAACGACATGCATATGTCAATACAGTCGATAAAGTAAATGTTCAACAGTATCAAAATATGTATTTCACTTTATTTGAATGTTTCTAGAATGATGATCCAGTTCTATTCTCAGCTGTGAAAGGTGGAAGTGAAGATTGTGTTGCTATTCTTCTTGATAATCACGCTGATATCAATGCAATTGGTGCCGTAAGTTTGCATATGAAAGTATCATTAAAAGAATTTCGTTTTGCGTAATCAGGACAACAAAACCGCGATTTGGTGGGCTGTAGAATGTGGTCGGAAAAACATTGTGACACATTTACTCCAATACAAGCCTGATGTTGAAGTATCTGGCGGACCTGATGATGATACACCATTACTTTTAGCCACGAAACGAAAACGCGTTGGAATTGTCTTTGAATTAATTCGATATGGTGCTCGATTATCATCTGTGGATCGGGTTTGCTTGTTTTGCGAATCGAATTTGAAGAATTTTCTTTCTTTTAACTTTCAGTTTGGTGACAATAGTTTGCATATTGCTCTGCGCAATCGTAGTCGAGATATAGCTGATATTTTACTTTCAAATCCTCGACATGCGAAGTATTTGTATCGTCCGAATAAACACGGTGAAACGCCATACAAAATCGATGCTAGTCTCCCAAAAAGTGTTCTTACGGCTATCTTCGGACAGAGTATGCTTATTCCAAAGAATGAATATCATGGATTTTCGTTTCGTTCATAGGAACATTGAATCTTAACGATGATTCTATTCTCGGTTATGATTTATACTCATCGGCCTTAGCAGAAATCTTAAGTGAACCATCACTTCGAACACCAATCACTGTTGTACGTGCTGAAATCTAGTCTGCAGTTGAATTCTTCTTGATTGTTTCATCTAGGGTTTATATGCAAAATGGGGTAGTGGAAAATCAGCTCTTTTAACACATCTGAAAGGTAACCTAAACGTTTCGTCATCGCACTTAACTTGATTTTGTATATTTCAGACGAAATGCATAGTTTCGCCCAACTCACTGGTATGATTTGGTGGATATGTCATCGTTAGACATGATCATCGTCTTTTGTTTAGATTTCCCAACTATGAAACCGTCTCCCCTACTGCTTTCGATTATTTTTCTATTCGCATGTATCATTGGTTTGATTACTGGTTTTTCTATTCATTTTATCGTTGGTATTTCACTTGGCGTAGCATTATTCTTCATTCCAATTGGATTTATATTCTTAATAAAGTATCTTCTTCGTAATAAAGATTATCTCTGGACGACCAATGTCGCGCAGTTTATCAACAAGCGTTTGGAAATCCTACGATTTCTTCTTCAAGTTCTCTTCATGAATCCCTATGCTTATCGCCGATTAAAAGGCAATGATACAATGGATTGTAAAAAGATGAAGTAAATTCTCATTTTCGAATGTTCTGTACGTTTGGAATTGTTTTCATTTTCTAGATTTATATTTACCGAATATGGAAAAGTATCAGCTGCAGATGGAGATAAAGCCAGTGCGGGAATGATTGCTGAACTAGCTATCAGTGTAGAAGAGACATTTGGACTTGTAGCAACACGCCTCTGTCGTGCACTTCATTCTAAAGGTTTGTCGTATATCAATATCAGCTTCAGTAGAAGTCATAAGTTGTTATTTAGATACCAGTCATCATCGGTTTCGTCATATTTGCTGTGTGCCTGCATTCGTCTACGTTATCGTTCAGATTGCTCTGGCGATAAGTTTGAGTATTCTTGCATTAATCAACGGTAAGATATTTTTATTTTCATATGATATTCGATGTGTTGAATGATGTATTTACAGGTGTACCGTCAATTCATCGTTCAGTTAATACGGCGTATATTGTATTGATGAGCACATTAGGAGCTTCGATCGTATTTAGCATGGGTCCGTGTTTTCGATTGATGAAAGGATTGATGAAATCACCGAAGTCGAAAATTATCAAATATTCTGATCATTCTTCTCGTCTCAATGAAACATCGCTATACCGACTTCGAAAAGAAGTAAATCTCTCTTGTATGTCGAGAAGAATTCAATCTATTTTCCATCAGGTCAGCCAATTGTCTTACATTATCAAGACTATCGAAGCATTTCTCAGTATTAATACTCGTCTTGTCGTTCTTATTGATGGTCTCGACGTTTGCGAACAACATCGTATCCTTCAGATTCTTGATGTAGATCAAAGTTCACTTGTTTTCCTTCTTCGAAACTTCTGATTTGAATTTTCTAGCAAGTTCATGTTCTTCTCTCGAAAGAAAACGATCCATTTATAACTTTAATTGTTTGTGATCCACATAAAATGATGCAGGATATGACAAGTACATCACCAACAGTACCTGTACCAAATCATAATACTGGTTTTGATACCACAGTCAACGGGCACGACTATCTTTTGTCGATTATTCAACTACCGATTTATTTACAACTAAATTTGAGTCGAACAAAGCAGTTGAAGAATACGGATGGATTTTCGCGGAAAAAACAAATGGTTACTTGTTTTGTGTTCATCAATCCATCGTACTATCTCTTTGTTTAGACATTAACGAAAAATCCATCGATACTCGACGTCAGTACTAAAGCTCCTGTAGCCGAAAAGCTTTCGAAAAACAAACGTCGTCGACAAAGACGAGACACTTTGCCAAACACTAAACCGGTATGTAAAATTCTATTATTCAACGTTTATTGTCTAAATTTCTTTACCTATTCTAGGTAACAACATCGGAATTGACTCATCAATTACTTCAATCGGATTATTTTCTCGATATCAATCCGCGAATTCTTCAACGTTTGATAAATATCATCGCCATGACTGGCCGATTGTTACGTGCGAGTCAAGTTCTCTTCAGTTGGAAACGTCTCGGATGTTGGTCGTATTTAATAGAACAATGGCCATACAGGATGACTTGGATTATCGTTCATTATGAAGATCATGAACAAGAATATGCTGAAGATACCGCATTGAAAGTTCTTTTTGAAAAGTAGAGTAGAGAACCGGAATTCTAAGTGAGATGAAAGTGGTTTTTTGCATTTAGAATTAAACCGTTTATTTCAATGGCGAATGATTCGCTCTTAGAACTCGATCGGAATGGACGAAAATTTGAACTTTGTATCGAACAGAGTGAACCCGTACTGAATGTGACTGATTTGAAGCAATTTCTTCCGTGCACATGCAATCTCGATCCGTATCTGAATAAAATTATCCGAGGTACAATTTATTCATCGGAATATCAAATACGTCTCATTTCATCGAAAATTTAGAATCAACACCGTACTTTTATATGACTAACGCCGATGAAAATGGTTATATTAACGGAGATATCTCACGACTCTATCCTCGACACGATCATTCGTAAGTAGAGACAAGACAGTTCGCCATAGTTAATGTTTGTTTCATTCAGAAAATTTTCCCATTATCATTGGAATGAATGGTAAAGAGCATATAGACGACATATAAGACTAGTTTTTCCCAAATGCATGAATATCGCTTATGTTTTATAAAGACTTTGATCTTTATTTTCGTCATTTCTCTTCTAGCTTTGATACACATGGTGGTCATGGTCAATCGGGACCATGTACACGACAGAAAAGTGGATACTATTCAAAACATCATTATGGTAAAAACATCAACGTAAAGTTTGACTTGTGAATTGCTCTTTTCTACTAAACAGGAAGTCCATATCGTCCGTATCCGCTAATATCAGCAAGAAAACGTGATCTGGATGAGATTCGTCTTCGAACAGCGTCAATTTCCTCTTCAACGGCACCTATTCCACCGCCATTAATAGATCAAGAACAATCTACTATGAATAATCCCGATGGAAATGTTAAAGTAAGTCCGACTTAATCACATCAATGAGTATATTCTTTTGTCGAATTCGTTAGATCGATTTATCACCTCTGTTGAGTGAAATGACAGTGAGTGATATTTGTGATTGTTTGAAGAACGATATTGTTGGTTTAAAACCAGCAATGATACCAATCTACATTCACGATTTGAATGAAAACAACATCACCGGTCGCGTTCTTGCAGCATGTGAACTCGATGAATTGAAACAAGTAAAATTCTTCCGCTTTATCTTTGATATCATGTTTCTTCTTCTAATCAGATCCTTTCGATGGCATTCGGCGATTGGATATTGTTCAGTAATTGGGTACGAACGAAACGCGACGAAGAATTGTAAGAAAAAGTTTCACTTTGTCACGATTTTCAAGTTCCTTCTTTCAGACGTTCGCGATTTCGTATTCAATCTGTATCAAATCCGAGAATGAACTCAAACGATCGACCGACTCTTCCTACAAACAATTTCATCAATGATTACCAATTCTATTCGGAAAACAACGCTCTCAATGCAGCACTCAGTCAAATTTTACAAACAACATCACAAGATTCAGATAAGAATTCTTCCGATGAAATCCGCATTGGTGGAAACGAGAAAATGTCTATTGTCTCCGGACCGAAGAACGTCAAATTTCTCATTCCATTAACAAGATCTGGTTTAACATCAAACGACAGTACACTTGGAGTTATCGAGTCAACAACAAGAACAATCACTCATGTTAAAGATATTTTCCCAGTGCATGTCGCACAGCAATCTCATACAACCGCAACAAATATCGATCTGGACACGATAACACCATCTTCATCGTCGAACTCGGGAATAGCTGCGACTTTGTTTGACACCGAACAACCAGCAACAGTAACCAATAGCGATGGCGAAGAAATTCCCTTACTTCCTGTGGATAATTCTAATGATAAATAAATGAACAAATCTCGTTTTTTTTTATACAAATCTCGATTTTCGTGTTTTTTTCCTACTTTCGATTAGTCTTCGTTGTTTTTATTCGTACGGTAGTGGACCACCGGTGATTAAACATTTAATGAATATCACAAGAACGACTTCGAATACCACGATTCATTCCCTTCCCTATATCTCATGCCAGAGAGCCGATCGACGTCTAGAGTCCTCTATCGGACGAGTCTCTATTGATTTTTTCAGCTTTTTTCCCTAGCGGTGCGCGTTGTAATTGGCTAAGTTCGTCATAACAATCCAAGAAATTTACGCAATTTTCACATTCAACTTGTGTCTTGCAGTGCATTGGCAGATAGTAAACATGATGATGAGACTATTCGATCGAATGAAAGGAAACGAATAAACAAACAAATGATAATAGAAAAAGAGAGAAGAGAGAAAATGAATAGGGTTTGTTCAGTCCTTTACTTTCAATGGCAGTTAACATCTGTTTATGTCTATAGACATCCTTTATCTATTTGTCCGGATATATTTAAAAGTTATCGCTCTTTTCTTCTAGTTTTAAGATCTCTAACACCAACAATTAATTTCCTTCTTTCCCAGAAAAAAAAGCAATTCGCAACAACCATATACCATGAATAATGAGTGAGAATATAATTTGTTGTTTTAAATGTCGAGATCGCTGATTTTCGTTTCTAGTCAAGATAAAAAATTGTCGCAACAACAAATACGCGGCGCAACCTACGAAAATTCCAGACATCAAAATAGCGAACAGGGAAATAATAACAACAATAACAACAACAGCAGCAACTATGCCGGTGGATACAATCGTGGAGGAATACCTCAACAGCAAACCTCTACACAAGCTTATCGACCTCCACACTTACAGAATCGAACGAGCGCGCAAAAGTAACGATTCACACGAACGCCATCCAATAAAAATCCTCTCTCTTTTAGCGGGAATTATAACAATAATACTAGTAATTATCGAGGACCAACTAATTCTGGTCCACCCCCTTCGCAGCAAAACTATGGTAATACTCTTCATTCTCATCCGCCAATGCCACAGCAACAGCAACAATATTATGGTCAAATGGCAACTCAACAACAACCAATGTATCATCAACCTATGTCAAATAACTATCAACAAATGGGACAAATGGCACGTCCGATGAATCCACCTCAATCGCTTGACACTCGAGGTTATGGTCCACCTGCACAGCAGCAGCAAATGCCTGTGCAAAATCGATCGTAGTGACTTCCCAAACGTATATTCATAGTTTCCAAATGTGTCTTCTTTTAGATTCAATGATAATTCACAAATGCAACAAAACTTTCCTCGACAAGGCTCTGCTAGTCAACAAGGGTCTGGCAATGGTGGTCGTTGGGATGCGATTATTGCTGAACGGCAAATGTCCTCTTACAGTACGGGTAACGGTAACAATTATCAACGTGGTTCTTCTGGTAACTACAATAATCGAAATATGCGTGGTGACAATAATCATAACAGTGGTGGTTATGGTGGACAACGTGATAATAATTATCATCGACGTGAACATGATCCTCACAAACCTTTCCATTCGCATGTAGGTGAACAATCAGGAGATATGACCGGTGCCGATTGGAACACGCCATTGCCACCAAATGCGAATCTTGAAAGGTAGATATAACTTGGCTGTTTGGAATCGAGAGACATTTCGAGCTTTTTCTCCTAGGGAATTGTTCGGTGTACATCCCACTGGTATTAATTTTGATCTTTACAATGATATTCCTGTTGAAGCGTCTCATATGGACCATCCACCAGCGGACTCAGTGCGTAGTTTTCTTTGTCGATAATCATTCATTGAATCTTACTCTTACAATTCTTAGTTCGAAGATTGCAATTTTGGTGAAATTATTAAAAACAACGTTGCTCTAGCTAATTATGGTACACCAACACCTGTTCAACGTTATGCTATACCGACTATTTTACTTCGACGTGATTTAATGGCTTGCGCTCAGACTGGTAGAGATCCTTGTGCTTCGGGAGAAGTTGCCATTTTATTGTGATTTCTTTGTTTAGGATCGGGCAAAACAGCCGCATTTCTTCTTCCTATTTTACATATGATCTTCCAAGAAGGTCCCGTGCGTAATCCTCAAACTAATCAACGAAATAATCGCAAACAATATCCACTTTGTCTTGTCCTTGCACCAACACGTGAATTGGCTTCACAAATTTATGATGAAGCACGAAAGGTAAACTCACTGTAAGAAACTGAACCAATCTGTTTTCATTTATTTCGATTAGTTTTCTTATCGATCAATGGTTCGTTCATGTGTTGTTTATGGTGGAGCTGATATTGGTTTTCAAACACGTGACTTAGAAAAAGGTGCACATGTTTTAGTGGCGACACCAGGTCGTCTGAATGATTTAATCCAACGTGGTCGTGTTGGATTAGCGAATATTCGGTAAGTAATTTTCTTCCGAACGTCTTAATCGAATTCTCTCGTTTGACAATAGGTATTTGGTCCTCGATGAGGCTGATCGCATGGTAAATAAACTTTTTTCTTTGAAGCAATCATTTCATTTCCTTATTTTTTTTTCTAGCTGGACATGGGTTTTGAAGTAAGATGGATTGAATTGATGAAGGTTTGTTTAAACATTAAATTTAGCCTCAAATCCGCGAGATTGTCGAACGGTCAGATATGCCACCTACAGGTCAGCGTTTAACGCTGATGTTTTCAGCTACATTTCCAAAGCAGATTCAGGTTCGCTCATCTGTTTAATTGTCTTCGAATGTTCACATAATGGTAAACATCTTGCAGGAACTAGCTCGTGATTTTCTTCATGATTATGTGTTTCTGGCGATCGGTCGAGTTGGTTCGACATCACAAAATATCACGCAAAAGATTGTATGGGTTGAAGAAGCTGAAAAACGTTCATTTCTACTGGATTTACTTAATATCCAAGCTGGTAAATAGACACTATCTATGACCCACATGAACAAACATTGAAATAAAACGTTTTAGGTACATTAACATTGGTATTCGTCGAGACGAAACGTGGAGCTGATATGCTGGAAGATTTTCTCGGCAATCATCAATATGCTGTCAACAGCATTCATGGTGATCGATCTCAAGCTCAACGCGAAGAAGCATTGAAATCATTCAAAAGTGGTCGTACACCGATTCTTGTTGCCACGAGTGTCGCTGCTCGAGGTCTCGACATTCCGTAAGTGATTTCAACAAACCATACACGAAAATTTCTTTCTAATTGTTGTTGGATTAACTGACGAAAATGATGGATTTTCTACATAGGAATGTGAAACATGTGATCAATTTTGATCTCCCAACAGATATTGATGAGTATGTACATCGAATCGGTCGAACAGGTCGTGCTGGCATGGCAGGTACGAAAACGAGAAATGACCAAGAATAATTTGATGATATTTACATATCTATTGAAATTTGTTAGGTCAAGCAACATCATTTTTTAATGAGAAGAACCGTAATGTTGCTGTTGACCTACTTGACATTCTTAGCGAATCACATCAAGAGGTACCTGAATGGCTCGAAGGTTTAGCAAGAGAAACGAAACGAGATAATCAATCGCGACGCAATTACGGTGCTAATCGAAGGTGACTACTCAGCATTCAAAAAAACATTCTTCTTCTAGTTATTCCTTCTAGACCGGGCGGCTTCGGTGCACGTGATTATCGTAATCCAGCTCAATTACGTAACAGTCGAGGTGGTGGTGGTGGTGGTAATAATAGTGGTAATCGAGGTGGTCATAACGCCAATGTATATATGAACCATCAACAACAATGGGATGGGTCTAATAACGGTGGTGGTGGTAACATGTGGTCTGGTGACCATCAAGGTGGTGGTGGTTATGAGCGTTATCAACAACAATCTGGTGGTGGAAACAGTAACCGTCAACAGGATCATAGTTGGTGGGATAATACAGCATAAAAGACGACAATTTCAAGCAAAATCTAAGCAGCATCCATCCTTATGACAGCTGTAATCTCATTCATGATGATACCTTTCTTCTTTTGACAAACAATCTTATATTTTCATTTGCTCTTTGTTTGATCGTTCAATGTTATGTTCGTTTCATTTCATACACATACATTCAAACGAACCGACGCTGATTAACTTTCACTTTTCTTTCTCTGCTCGACAGCGTAGGTTATCGGTACTTCTATCGATTTCAAACTTGAATCTTTCCTCCTGTTTTCTTTTTGTTGTTATTGTTGTTGTTGTTCATTACAATGTTTTCTTTCATTCTGTTACTATCTTTTTTCCTTCTCCGCATATTTTTTTTGTTTCCCTACTTCTTTATACAGTATGTGTGAGTGTGTGTGTGTGTGAGAGTATTTAAACAGATAGAACTCTTTTCGCGGGATCATTTATCTCAAAAGAGAGTTTTGTCAGCATACGAGCGTCATTTGAGATGTTGAATAACATATAAAACAGAATGATTGAGACAAAACTTTATTTCATCTAATTCGATTACCAGTGCATTGAAAAATAGATGCTCGAGGAATACGCAAATCTTCTAATCTATGTCAGAGAAATGTCAACACCACGAATAACAATAGTAACTAATTCTGTAATAGAACATAAACAAAATACAGCGTTGTATACGACGAGAGAAGGCCACGAAATAATCTGCCATTCTCTAATGATAAGAACGGATCCATCCTTTAACTAGCCTATACACATCTCAAATGTGCCATTTGATTGACTAGTATCAACATGTCGAAGTCTCAGATGACACGATCGACGTGATGTTTTTCGAAGGATCTTGAAATTGAATCAGAGAACAAAAAAAACTCGAATGGATTGATTATTTTGGTAACAAACATCTGTTTCTTTTTGGCTAATATTTATCTAAATCATAAATAATATTGACAATTCGAAAGTATTCATTGGTCTTGATTTGAATATCGTTTCATTTGCACTTGGTCCATCATGTCGAATGATTATGCACTCTTCATGATTCTTCTACCAAATGACTTCGAGCAAACAATTTCAACTCGATCTGAAATCAAACACACTGCTTCGACTGTAAGTTGATCATTGGAACACGATTTTTCTCATCGGTTTGTATTTTTCAGTCTTCGGTAAACGCAATCTCAGCTTTGATCACTCCCGCATCGATCATTTGTCCTCGGCGTGCTTCGGTTATTGATAAAGACAACAGTCAATCTCAAGAATCATTATGCATTGCATTAAAAACTTATTTGACCGAACAAAATCGTATCGAAGCTCTCTGGATGCGATCAGAAGACGCAAAAATATATCAAATCACGTTCTATGTCGAATTTGGCTTTGTTAGCGATCGTACGCTACAAGATCTACTCAAACTCGGGATTGGTAAACGCACCAATACGAAAATCTTTGTTCTACCGACTGCAATTATTCTCGAAGGACATGGTGAGTCAATTTCGAGTCTGTCATCACCGGAAGATTCGACCCAAACTGACTCATTACCAGCTAAACTGAATGATGAAACATTAACAAAGAAAATTCGAAAGCGAATTAACGTATCGAACTTTAAAAAGAGCGTCCGCGCTCGTTTGATGGTTCATCAAGTCGTCGCAAGTATTCGTGCGTCAACTGCACTTTCATTTGACTTTGTTCTACTCATCTGCTTGGCATCAATGTTAGCGGCATTCGGTTTATTGGAAAATTCGACCGTTATTATCGTTGCTAGTATGTTAGTGAGTCCGCTGATGAACCCAATTCTTGGCGTTGTATTTGGACTCTCTGTACGCGAACATTCACTGTGGAGAAGAGGTTTACGAAATGAACTGATCGGGTTGGTTATTTGTATCAGTTGTGGGTTTATTCTCGGGTAAAAGATCGATAAAGAGAAGTTTCGATGAAAAGAATTTTTCTTTTCGAATAGATTGTTTACAACATTTGCTGAGACGAAATGGGGAAGTTCAACAAGTTTTCCAACCGCTGAAATGAAGTCACGTGGAGATATTAAACGTTTATGGGTCGGAGTATTAATTGCTCTACCGAGTGGAGCAGGCGTAGCACTTTCGGTACTTGGTGGAAACACAGGTACGAAAAGCTCGCTTTATTTATTCGTACTATATATATAATACTCTTTTGTTATTTTCACAAGTTCAGGTTCACTCGTTGGCGTTGCTATCTCAGGTTACTGTTCTAATTTAAAGAAATCTCTGATTTCTATGAATGTTTGCTCTTTTTAGCATCTCTTCTACCACCGGCTGTGAACTGTGGGCTCCTCTTTGCTTATACAATCCTCGGTAATTCCTTTCCCAGTGTTGCTGCGATTGAGAATTCATCGATAAATCAAACTCAACATCACTATTCCACCAATCTTAATTGCACAAAGTACATCAACAATGATTATCAATCGCTATACACGTGTAATTTAGCTATTGAAACAGCAATTCTCGCTGGTTGCAGTTTGTTATTGACCATTGTAAATATTATTTGTATTATAATCATGGCTCTGTTCATCTTGCGAATCAAAGAAGTCGTACCGCTACATCAACCGAATAAGGACATCACAAATTTCTTCCATTACGATGTGAAAGTTGCGCGTGATTACAATAAAACTATTCATGAAGATGATTTAGAACCGACGAACATGACAACAACCCGAAGTAACTTACAGCAGTCAATGATTAACCGGTGGAAAATCTTTCGATCGTTGACTTCGAATGACAATTCACAGCATCAACAAGAAATTGGACAAACTTTGTCAGTGAATGCAGATCAGGATTTATCCGATGCTGAAATACGACGGAAATTACTTGGATTGAACACATTTGTGAAAGAATACAATCTTGATGTTTTCGACAAAAATGACTATGATTTGTTGAGTCCCGTAAGTCGAGAGAAGGTTCGTTTGCTTGTCAACGATCTTCTGGATATGTGTCAAGAAGAAACTCCTCTTACCTTCATCAATTTATTCAATTTACAACCTTGTAATTCTCAGTCATCGGGTGAAACTCAACAGCATTCATTTTATCAAGAAATTATCGAAATTTTACCACCGAAATGGTACGATTTATTCATTTACGAACAAAAACAACGACAAATTCGATCGTGGTCATCGGCATTCAAGCGAACGTATTCGTTACGTGTTCCGAAATTCGATAAATCCATATCGGAATCTAACGAACATCACTTCACGCCACGGAGAGCCCATGTTCGTCGGCAAAGTTCAGTACCCGAATCCAATCTTCACGCGCTCAGCTTCAACCAGGAAATCGAAACTCCAGTAGAAGGAACTCGTTTTCGTATAACTCGTCCATCTATAACAACCGAAATGTTTCTAACTGAATAAAAATTTCTTTCGAAAGACAAATATTATCTCGTCGAGGTCATATTACAATCTATACTTACAAGGAAGGACATTTCATCTCCATCATGTTCACTGATAATCAAGATGACCTTGCTAGTTGTACGAGCATGTCTACAATGGGAGAGAGAATTACTTTTCGGGGGTGTATTATTGTGACGGCTGTCGGTGAGCGACATCTGGTCAATGAATAATTCTATAGGAGTGTCATTCTTTTACAATGTATTGTACTATTCTACCGGCATCGTTTGTTTTTTGTTTGCTACTGCTACTAGGGCCACATATGGTGTATCGAATGGCATGGCATTGAATGTTGACAATGAATATTGATTGATCAATCTGTATCTTTTTTTCAGTTTTTCTTTCCTTTGATTTGCAAGTGATACGAGAGAAAGAGACATTTGATACATGTAGGTATACATTTAAGTTCAACGGGCCGAATAGGAAAAAAGCGAGCTAATGAACAATTAACTTTAACTCAAGTACGTTTGGTCGATGTAGAACTCAATTCACACAACGATTCTCTTCGTTTTACATATGAATATACGATTTGTTTGTAGATGTATATTGAAAGGTAGATATTAAACAAAACATCATGGCGACAACAATGGTTACTTCTACACCAACAAAGGAGAAGAAGAAACATTCATCACCGAATAAGCAAAATCGATCAGCTGGCGCTGGTACACTCAAAGTAAGCATTTTTCTTTCACAAGGATTCCTTGAAAAGGATCTTCTCTCAGCGCAATCCAAAGTATGAGATGAAAAAAGATGAATTGATTCAACTACTCGGACGGTTCGAAGCTGAACTTCAAGCAAAAGACATCGCATTAGCTGCCTTGAAGGTAATTAAGATGTGTTTCGTTGATGACAAAGTCATAGGATTAATATTTTAGTCGGAGAAAGTGAAAGCACTTCTATCCAACGCACGATTCGGCCGTCTTAGTTGTCAAACTGATCCGTACAGTGCATTGCTTCGAGATAGTGAACACATAAAAGAAGATGTGTTGAACGAACAGATTCCCATGAAAAATGCGTATGAAACTCAACTTGTTCAACTAGAAGAACTGATAATTCAACAGAGAAAACAAGTACAAACGTTGAAAATTGCACTTGATAACGCCGAAAAGACTTGTACTTTGGTAAGTTGAAGCGGAGCAAGAGCTTTTCAATGTGAAATGAATCGTTTGGTTGTGATTTTAGTTAGTTCGCGATCTGGAAAACGAGAAGAAAGAAAAATGTCGATTGCAAACTCTCCAAAGTCAGTTAGTTCTCATTCAAGAAGAAAAAATTCAACTAAGAAATGAAGTAATTGTTTTCCAAACGAACGAATTCTTGTTTTGATGAAGTTTGTTTTTCTTCAGATTAATTATGTCAAATCACACAATCAAGAATTAGAACAACAATTGAGTCAAGTAATGAAATTACTTGAGCACGAGCATGAACGACACAAGAGATTCGTTGTTCTTCTTTTAAATGAGCGTAAAATTGAAAATGAACAATATAAAGAACAAATAAAACAATTATCAAATAATCGTTTGAAGTAAATTTACGATATTTGACGAAATTCATCTCTACGAATGTGCAATTTTAGTGACGATTCACAACGGGAAACAAAATTCAAAGAATTAGAATCAGAAAACGAACGGAATAAACAAGTATTGACAGCACGAATCACACAATTACAAAATGAAATCGATCTCTTAGTCAAAGAAAAGCAACAACAACAAACATCGCCACCAGTACTACCGCCACTGCCATTGGACAGTAAATATTCTTTCCAGGACACTTCCATCTTCATACGGATTCATAATTCTTCTAGATATATCATCACCGGACAGTGAAGTCGTTGAATTAGCATCCAAACCTCAACATAAACCACGACAAGTCTCATCAACAGTTCCAGTAACTGAACCCTCAGCGCCAAACCCAAATGAAAAGCCATCAAGTACACCGGGAGGTATTCGTCGTCCAACCATCATTCCAGCACCATCATCTAAAAATGGTACCAGTTCCTTAGCAAAACCGTCTGTTGCTCCACCATCAATTCCCGCGCGTACACAGCAGACGTCATCAATGACAAACTCAACATCATCGATTCCTGAAGTGCCATCTTCACCGACACCAGCTGTTGCTAAACGTAATGCTATTCCAACACGTGCCGTGTCCAATGTACCACAATCACCGTTAATGTCAAATCTTCGTTCATCACCAAGCAATAGTCAATCATCGACATCGTCATCTTTAACATCATTTTCAGCATCAACAACAAGTAATGTGTCACGTGCCGGTGGTATTCCACGTTTAACGAAAACTTCCAATCAAATTGTTAAACCGACAACGAAAGCTGCTGGTTCAGCGAAACGACCTGGCCAGGTAAAAACCTCTCCTTCCTCGATAGAGTCTCTCAGTATATCTTGAACGAGAACGGATTGAATACATACAGAGAATTGACGTTGTGAATTCTATTCTCTCCATCTTATAGACTAACCTTTCATCAGAACACAAAATTGATGATCTACAAACCCTGTTAGAACTTATCCATACAGGTAAATCCATCTATTCTCTTCTGTATCACCGCACATTCAATCACTCTTGGTCTATCTACATGCTCTTCTTTCATGTTTGTGTGAACATTTATCATCGAGCTTTCTTGTGTTTTTTTATCTCATCCTCTTGTGCTTCTTATACATATACTAATCATGCTAATTGTGTCTGCTTGGCTCAATCATTGACTTTTCATACGATCTTCGCTGAATATATCTTTTTCTCGTTCAATTTTAGTTGCTGAAAATCGTTTAACATCGCCGACAGACATTGCCGATATACCATTATACACAGACAAAAGCAATTTGAATCCCACATCATCTTTGACATCTACATCATTATCGTCCACGACAACCGCAACATCATCATCATCGTCATCTTCCTTATCGTCTCATTCCGACGTCATTCTTTTCCGAACTGCTGAGAATGGAGATACAGGTAAGATTTCGTTTCTCATTCTCACGCTATAACATAAACGAACCTCTCCAGAACAATTATTGAAATTTCTGAAACTTGGTTCCAATCCAAATAGTCAAATGCTCGATGGCAATACTTGTCTCCATCTTGCCGCTGCAAACGGGCACATTGAGTAAGAAAAATGCCCGTTTTCACACAATAACTAATTCTTCAATGGGTGTTTGTTAGATCCATCCGTCATCTACTGAAATTCGGTGCTAATCCATCTATGGAAAATAACCTTGGTTTAACACCATGGAATAACTTATCTCGATTGAATGAAATCAATGAACTCGAATGTCTGCAATTAATCACAGAAATGAGTGAAACTCTGGTAAATACTCTTTTCTTAATTTTCGGCCATGACTTTTATTCCTCCGTTTGTAGCCACCCGTAGATTTGATCTTTGACGCTGTCGAACACAATCGTACCAGTACATTCGGCTATTTATTATCTATTTTACATGATTACGTCAAAGATGATCCATCGTATGTATCACGTTTGCTACGAACAGCACTAAGATCTTCGAATACAGTAAGAGTTCATTGAATATTTTTGACTTTGGACATTCGATTATTTTAGTACTTTCTTGAATCTTCATTTGCGATAATCACGATTCAAGATTTCATCAAATGCTTCGATCCAAATTCGTTTATTTCCAATGAATGTCTCGCTCTTCTCGCTACGCTACACGATGAAGAAGGTTTGATTTCTCCTCAAAATCCTTCCAACATCCTTCGTTCTCTCTCTATTTCATTAGCTAATTCCAAACCAACAAATCTTGTCGTTCGTATCATATCGCCCAATCGCGAACGACAATATTCCTATGCAATAGGCACAATCTCTGTAACAATCGAACTGACATGGCTTGAACTCGAAAGAATCTGTATCAAACTATTTCTCGATCACATCACCCAAATTGACACCCCGTTTGATTATGTCAAATCATCGATTGGTTGCACTGCGAATCATATCGATACTCTCTCGTTGGGTTTAACTAAATGGCATTATCAGGATAGTCCGAATGAAGATTCGCCGTCACCGTATACGGCTGCGCGTGAACAAGATTCGATTTTAATCCAATTGAAAGGCATCGAAAGCAATGCGACCGAGTCATTATCGTATAATTATTTTATTCCAAGTCAAAATTTAAAAAATTTTATTCGTTTTGTATGTATTCGTTTTCTCGCAGTTAAAACTCAATGAATGCTGATTTAGATCGAACAAAACTCATATGTTGGTGTCTACGGTGCAGCTTATCTTCAAAAGAAATCGTTATTTCAAGATTTAACAAAATATCTCGAACGGTCATTGTCGATTTCGGCAAGTCCGAAGTATAAAGTAGTTCGATATGAATTCGAGAGCGTGGCAAGCTTAGACGATTGCATCGAAGAACTAGTTGCTCAAGGTATGAAACAGATTGAAGAATCTCCCAGTGCAATGGATTTCATTCAGATTTTTTCCGTCTAAATCCCTGGTTGAATGATCAACAATCATCTACCAAATATCTTCTCTTCTTGGCCAACATACAAAATAGTGTTGGTACTGATATTCTTAATTTATTATTAAACTGTGAAGCCATTTCTGATACCTGTCAACAATTGTGCTACACGAAAGAAAACGATCCAAGTACGAGCAGACACTTTTCTCGGAAAAATCACGTTTGTGTTTGTCTTTCAAATAGAATCGACGATAAGTTATTACTTTCCATCTGTTTTCCATGTATTTGTGACGATGAGCAAACGTACATGGTCAACGGAACATGAAGTGTACAAAAAATTCAAATGGATCCCATTCAAAATCGATAGTGTACCATGGAATGGTTTACTCAAGCGACATTTATGGAGACGTATGATTGATACGTAAGCGTCAAATGATTGTTGATTCTCTAATCGAAATGATTTCTCTAGTAATGTTTGTGAAAGTCGACCAGTTGATAATGAACTGATCAAAACATTGCAATGGGTGACAAATGTTTGGCAGCGTTACAATGAATGTTTACAAAAACTAAGTCTTCAGGATGCATTGTTAGGGCCAGCTTTATTTTTCGATTGTCCGATGGAACGTGATGCAGTTTTTGAGTATGTGTTCTCGATGAGTGCTCTCTGATAGAATTTCGATTATTTCAGTTGGTTGCAAACAAAATGGAATACAATAGTAGCGCCACTTGTCCGTGAACTTTCGATGAATAAATGTGCTCAACCCAAACCGAAAAGTTCATCATCGGCGACTGCTGCTGCCACAGCCATTGCTTCATCATTGCGTGCGAATAGTCTCGAAATTAGCACTCCATATGAATCTGTGGCATGCACTGCTCTCTATGTTTTATTGCACCGAGCAGTTTCACGAGACTGTCCGTTAACAGGACAAGGTACGAGAGAAAGTTTGTCGAACTTCAAATGAATCTCCTATTTAAATGTTTAGAACGCGAACAATATTTACTTAACTTTGTTGGTAGCCGTTTGGAAGGTGGCGGTTCAACGTCGATGATGTCATCAGCAGCATCCAGTCGTGCTAGTACTCCTCAACCATCGAATCCAAATGAATTCATATCCATCCAACTCGAGTGAACAGAAGAATAATGATGTCATACGATATGTTGAAGATCTTGTGATTACTTATTTGCTTTTGATTTCTGTCGTATATTTTTAACCGATCGGCACTCTGATTCTCACATTTATGTCAGGTTTATCTGGTTTTTATTTCAAGAATCAGCTCTTTCACTTCTTCCCTCTTGTCCTTTTTTCTTTCATTTCTATAATCGTATTTTTTTTTCTTCTGCTTCCATATCATAGTTTAACTTCTCTTTTCGTCCGCAGCACTACGGCTTTTGTTTGCTGATGTATGTTCTCTCTCTCTTCTCTTCGTATAAGTTGTCGTGATAAATATTCACTTGGAAAAGCACACATCTTCGTCGCGTTTTCTCTTTTGGAACACAGAACTTGTACTTATCTTGTGGAACGAAACGATCCTATGCATTAGCGACTGTTTTTCATCTTCTTTGTTGTCATGTTTGAAGTGTATGATGTATGTATAGAAGAAGATTTCTTTTTTGGGGAACAAATAAACATACACTCAATGTTTATATTGAAATCGAATGTCCGA